TTAAAAGGATGACATAAATTTTTAGATTTTATGTTCTTTTTTCACGGGAGAAAATGTTTATTATTTATTTTTATAAATTCACCCATTTCTTGCAGGAGTCTTCACAAAGAATTGACTGACATTTCGTTTGAAGTTAATCGAATTTATGAGATACAAATACTAATTTTAATAGCAACTTTTTTTGCTGTTATGACAGGATTTTATTACATTTCATTTGCAGGACTATTTTTCAAAAATGTAGATGTTCATAATCATTGGACTTCTAAAATTAGCGGATTATTGTGGTGTATTTCCTATACCTACAGATTTTATAACATTACTGTGACATGCGCAAAAGTTAGTTGCGAGGTGATTAAACAATGTTCCATCTTTTTAATTATTAGAAAATATTTTTTTATCAATTTGTGCATATTAAATTAAAAATTTTAATATTGTTTTTTAATGTATAGGCGAAAAAAACAAAAGAAATTCTTCTAGAACTAATAAATGTAACAGATGATGAAGAATTAAAATTTGAGGTAAGAAAACATAGCATAATGTTCAAAAATTAGCATTTTTCTAACAGCTATAATTAAAATGTATTTTTTTAGCAGTTTAAATAATTTATATGAAGAAAATTGAAAAATAATTATTTCTACATTTTTTTTAAATTACAGATTGAACAATTTTCCTTGCAAATAACTCAATGCCCTTTAGTTTTTTCTGCCTTTGGAATTTTTAATTTAGATTATAGCTTTGTTGAAAAGGTACGAATTTAAATTACAACTACCGTTATTTGTACACTGTAAAAAAATTAGGGAGTTAACGTTACTGGGAGTTAAAAATCAACTCAAAAAGGGAGTTAATAATTAAATTAACTCCTTGAAACCAACTCCCTAGACATAAAATTAACTCGTAAAGCATTAACTCCCTTCGCTTTAACTCCAAAAGGGTGGGACTTTTATAGCATCCCCTTCAACTCCTTTTTTTTACAGTGTATAATAAAACATTTCACAATCAACAATATTACAAATGTTATAAATGATTTTTTTTACAGTTTATAGGACAAGTATTGATGTATACTGTTATATTGATACAATTCAGTCCAGATGTACAAAATTTACTTTAAAAGAATAAAGATACCATCATTATTGTAAATAATTTTGATAAATAAAAAATAATATATTTGATTCAAGAAAAATTATTCTATCATTTCAAAATCATACAAATAATATTAATAATAATAATAATTCATTTTTTAAATACAGGAATTTTAATATTTCTTCAAAAAAATGCAATCAAAGAAGAAAAAATTTTAATTTGTACAATATTTTACTAAATGAAATTAAATTAATTAAATCCATTTTACATCCAGAACAATATATTTGAATCAAAGCTAAATAAATTTTATTTGGCACAAACAAAATTTTTATTTGAAGTCAATAAATATTTATTTAGCCCTGAGAATAATACTTTTTTTCCTGGGTGTACCGATATAATAAAAGAAAATGTGTAACTAATATATTCATATTGAAAAGGACAAATCAGGAACAATAATGTCAATCATCAATATCAGACTTATTGTGCGTATAACGTCAATTTACATACAGAATTAATAGATAAAATGCATTACTGATAATTTATTCATACATGATTACACTTAACAACACAGATAATTATGAAACTTAATAAAATAATTTACAAGACAATAAATTATTCAGTTATTACCATCATTATAATGATAAACATCCATCATTATTTGGAAGGGAATGTTAGTTGAACATTATTGGTTGGAGAGCAACTTTGTAAGATAGTGTTAAACAGTTTTAACGAAAAGAAATATTTCACTAACTAAATATTTGTTAAAAGAAAGAGATAAAAAAAGATAAGGTAAGAAAATTTTTTAAATTTATTGTAATAATTCTTAAATTTTTAATTTAAAAAAAAAATTAATTTTACATGGAGATGGAAAACTATTACCCGTGACAGCTAATTTGATGCGGCTAATATATGGGAATAGCAAATTATTAGCTGTATAAGCTAAAAATAAATTGCTAATCTTTATAATAGCAATCGATTTAGCTGTTGGTGCTAATTTATTTTCTCCATGTATTGTAAGCTCGAACTATAGACTGTATTAATTAAATTAAAAGTATAAATTATGTAAATTTACTTTTTCTTTCGAAAATTAAAATGAAAACATTTCACATAAGTGATTGTTCAATAAAAAAAAAAATTCATAAATTCTCATTACATAAATAAAAGGTTTATAACCTATATATTTCATTTTATACTAAGTTATAAGAAATACAATTCTTTTTTTTCTCAGTGCTATTTGTTTTTAAAGTGGTTAAAAGATAAAATTTTTTGTGCAACACCTTAAAGAAAAGCATTACTTTTCATGCTTGTAAAGTAGGCGCAAAACATTACTTTGATGCACGAGTGCAGAAAAGTACTTTGAAGGATGCCTACAAGTATGTATGCTGACGGCATCGAGCGTTATGATTTTTTTTTGTAGAACTTTGACTTTTGCTCGCTATTGGTAGTTGAATTAGTGTACAAAACTAAATTTATATAGAAATTATTACATATTTTATGAATTTAACAAATATTTTTTATTATAAATATAAACATTAATTGTAGCTTGTTATTCAATTAATAAAAAGCATTTTCTCTAAATTAATGTTGCACAAAGTTCTGTGTGCACCACGTACGAAAGAACATTTTCCGACTTCGTGCAAATTGCTGCCCTCGCTTCGCTTGCACGCAGCAAATTTTGAAATTTTTGGAAAACAGCTTCTTTCGGTACTTGGAGCACAATATACTATTAAAAATTTGTATACCAAATGTATTTTTTTAATTAGGGTCAGTTGGGGTAAATGGGGACAAAATTCCCTAATTTGGTAATTTAAACAATTAAACATTCGAGGGAAAAAACGTTCGGTTAAATGAAATCGGAATAACGATCGGGTACCAAAAAAAGTGCGTTGTTACAGTGAAACGTAAACAAACCGAAAATATAAGCAATAACACAGACCCACAAAAAAAAAGTGTCATGTACTTTTGACCGGAATACCCTAACCCTATGTATTTTGACGCGCTGAACACGAATCCGAAGTCCGTTTTGCTCCATCACGTCAGGATTTTTTTTCTAACCTCAAAAAACATGTCGGATTTTGAGAAGTAGGCGATTTTTTTAAAAATTGATTTATTAACTTCAAACTTGGTATCTGGGGGTTTTTTGTGTCGATGATTACGAATCTGAAGTTAGATTTTCAAAATCCCAAAATGGCGGATCCAATATGGCTGACGAATTTTGAAAAAATTTTAAGATTTACTTCAAACTTGGTATCTAGGGGTTTTTTGGGTCGCTGATTACGAATCTGATGTCAGATTTCCGAAATTCGATACGCCTGATTCAATATTAAGGAATTATTTTTAAAAAATTGTCAGATTATTACGAAATTTGGTATCTACAGGTTTTCTAAGTTGCTGACAAGTAACACTAGGGAAGTGCCATACGCCGATTTTTCTGAAACTTGGCAGTTTTGTAGTTTTTTTGAAAACAATTTGACACGTATGTTTTGTTTTTCCCCAAAAGCTGATTTATGAGGGGGGAACTACCCCTTGAATTTTTTTTTAGTAGGGGGACATTATTTTACGAAATTTTTTAAAAATTAATGTGCAATAGTGTATCTGGGGGTTTTTTGGGTCGCTGATTACGAATCAAAAACTTCTCAAAAAACCCCCAGATACACTATTGCACATTAATTTTTAAAAAATTTCGTAAAATAATGTCCCCCTACCAAAAAAAAATTCAAGGGGTAATTCCCCCCCCCAAATTGTTTTCAAAAAACTACAAAACTGCCAAGTTTCAAAAAATCGGCCTATGGCACTTCCCTAGTGTTACTTGTCAACAACTTAGAAAACCTGTAGATACCAAATTTCGTAATAATCTGACAATTTTTTAAAAATAATTCCTTAATATTGAATCAGGCATATCGAATTTCGGAAATCTGACATCAGATTCGTAATCAGCGACCCAAAAAACCCCTAGATACCAAGTTTGAAGTTAATACATCAATTTTTTAAAAAATCGCCTACTTCTCAAAATCCGACAAGTTTTTTGAGGTTAGAAAAAAATGCTGACGTGATGGAGCAAAACGGACTTCGGATTCGTGTTCAGCGCGTCAAAATACATAGGGTTAGGGTATTCCGGTCAAAAGTACATGACACTTTTTTTTTGTGGGGCTGTGTTATTGACTAATTTGTGGTAGCCTTCTTTTTAATCAAAAGTAAAAATTTTTCTTTCCCTATATGTGAAAATGAAAAATTGATATATTAAACTACAGAATGACACCTTATTTGACTAATAATACTAATAAATAAGTATAACTTATTTTTAGACATAGAATTTTTTGTATCAAAAATTAATTCAAAATTGAAAAGTAGGGTAAATGCACTAATTAAGGCGCGATTCGAGTCAAAACCCCTTTGAAATAGAAAATTCGACATTTCTATTGTATAAAGTCAATTTAAGACTTATTAAACTAAAAGCTTATGTTATTTAGATATTAAAAAAAAATTTAACTTTATAAAAATCGATTATTTAAACGAATATGAGAAATTAAAATTAATAGCGTAATTTTCTATTACGGCGCGTTTGTTCGGTGTATCGATTACGGTGACCAAAATTACGTGTATTTTAAAGATACTTTAATAATAGTTATTTTTTATGAACGCGCTGTAATTGATGCACTTACCCTAGTACTTTCAAAAGAGTCCGACATATTGATAGTTCACAAAATAAAATATTTATACAAATAGATAATATAATTTTTAATGTAATATTTATATAATATTCAAGATATGTATCTCACGCAAGCACATATAAAAGTTTTACCTATAAAAAAAACAAGCAAGCAGAACAAAAGCACGAATGCTCTCAAGAATATAATGTGACAATCACTATACGCAACATTTTATTTTTGAAGTTCATTATAAAAAGAAATTTAATGTAGGTACCCAAATGTACCCAAAATTGATACTTTTCTTTTCAAAAATTTTTACAAAAATTTTTTTCCCCCGAAACAATTGTTTCGACATTAATATTTTTCACTGTGATTTAAAATTAGAGACGAAGAACAACTTTCAAACAGAGAATATCTACAAAAGTAACAGGTATGATTTACTTTCATTTAAAAATTGCATGTCAAAAAAGTCACTAATAATAATCATTAATAAAAAAAATACATAATCTGAATATAGAATGAAACAATATACGAAAAAAACAAAAAGCATTCAGGATGTTGTACAACCATTACAATTTCTAAGCTGGAGTTTGGGTAGCGGAATCATTGAAATTCCAATAGGACGTCCAAATTTTACAATAACTATTCTCTATTCATTAATTATTTTAACGATTTATGCTGTAACTTTGTATTATACAATAATTAACGAACATACTATGTACTTCAACAAATTCAAGAATACAGGGATATTTCTGCTTAACATGACAACAATCGGAAATGCATTTTTGGCTATAATTTCAATAATTTTATCTTGGAGACGAAGAACGGTATTTATAATTATATGCGTCATTATATATATTTCATTTAAAGTCGTTGAAGTCTATTTTTATAAAAATCTTATAATTCGTAATAATAATTTTTGATATCCGTATATTTTATTTTTCTAAAATCCGGTACTTATCAGTTTTTCCAATATAGCTTTGAAACTAAAGATTTTTTTAAAAAAATGACCAGCAGGAAAGTTAAAGCTGACTAAATTCTTGATAATTTGCAAAAAAAAAACAATGTAATAGCTCTAATATAAAGAAATATCTTTTTTATGACCTACACAACAATAAGCGTAGAAGAAAATTAAAATTTTATTTTTAAATATTTGAGAAATTCAACTATTGACAGAAGTTTTAACAGAAATTAAATTACTTTTTGAAAAAATCAAAATTTTACCAAAAATTTGAATAGCAAATATTGGAAAAGCAACGACTTTAGGTGAAATATAATGGATTTATCCATATATAGTTTTAACTTGAATATCCAATAAATATAGAAAGAAAAAATTTTAAACTAAATTCACTCATTCTATACTCTTAAAATTTAAAAATGTTTAACAAAAGGGATTAAAAAAATGCATTCAACAAATTGGAAAGGTGGATGAACATCTACAAAAGATTGGAATACCAAAGGACTATGATAAAACGATGAAACGAGAAATTTTAAACATGAGCCTAATTTTTATCACAGTTATTATTGTAATGATTATAAATTCATTCGCCGTAGCAGATGTAAAAACTGAAACCTATATTAGAGTTTCAATAATAATATCGGTTCATTATCCACTGGTTCTAATTTTTGTGGCAGACACTATATTTTTAGTTTTATTAAGGTAACAATATTAAATCTATTTTTATGCTACTCGATATATAATTAAAACACAAATCTACAAGGTTTTTTTTTGTGATATCAAAGTGGTTTCCAATATATTTTTGTGTGCTGAAAACGATCCCGAGTTCCAAAATTGAGTATCACGTCAGGATTTTGAGTAAAGTGAGGGTAAACTCTCCAAAAACCGTATTTTTGAGGGTTTTCAGTATTTTTTTTCTCTTTAACCTGACGTACCTAATAGAGAATTCTACATATGCTTAAATTAAAGTTTTGATCGTACACTTTAAGACTCATATGCGCAAGATAAAAAAAAATTTGGAATTTTGAAAAAAAAATAGGTTCAAGACACCCAAAAAGTTTATTGGGGTCATTACCATAATATTTTTTTTATCTTGCACATATGAGTCTTAAAGTGTACGTTTTAAGCTTTAATTTAAGGGTAGGTTCTAGTAAGGCAGCACTATCTATAACGAAACTAAAATTTCGTAAAATTTTCCACAGTATTTACTTGAAAACAAGACAATAAAATGCTTTTTCCTTTAGGATAATTGATTATTGTCAAGAAATACACCAGCTAAAACTTTTTTTGAATTAAAATAATGAAAAAAAATTAATGAGGATAAATTAAATATGAGCATATTCTTTTACGAATACTTTTAATATATTTTCTCGGAAATAAGAAAAAAGAATGCAATTTTCAATTAGAAAACTATTAAACACTAAAAAATACACCAACTAAGATTAACTAAGAATCACAAAAATAACAACAAAAACTTTTTTTTTAACATAACATATCGACACTATTTTACTGATTTTGACAGCCATTTGACAGTGATATATTTTTTTTTTGTTAGCAACAGCGCTAATCTCCTCCTGTTGGCAGAATCGCGAAACGTTTTATGACATATATTACCTACCAAATGGCTGTAAAAATCAGTAAAATAGTTTTGATGTGTTATGTTAAAAAAAAGATTTTGTTGTTATTTTCGTAATTGGTAAATCTTAGCTGGTGTATTCTTTAGTGTTTATTATTTCTCCAAATGGAAATTGCATTGTTTTTTGTTATTTCCGAGAAAATATATTAAAAGTTTTCGTAAAAAAAATATATGTTTTATATTTAATTTATATAATTTTTTGTCATTATTTTAATTGAAAAAAAGTTTTAGCTGGTGTATTTCTTGACAATAACCTTCACCGGACTGGATACTTTTTATATACACGGTTGACAAGATCCCACCCAGGGTGGGCCAAATGTTTTCTTCTTTGTATATTGCAATAAAAACTTAGAATCATTCAGTTTTTTTCCAAAATTGTTATATGTTACTAAATAATATATTTTATTAATGTTTTGTTGATTTTTTATTTGTTTAAACAATTTATTATTAATAATTTATAACTTTTTCAAATATACATACGACAGTAGAAGAATTTTATAAATTTGTTACCTTTTCTTCGTAGTTATTAATTCAAAGGTTATAAATAAAATAAAATATATAATTCAATTTGCAACAACTATTATTATAAATTGTTTAAACAAATAATTGTTGCTATTTATTAACATTCTTCATAATATTCCTAGAAAATTGCAATTTTTTTCTAATTTTGCAACTTAACAAGCTCAACATAATAAACATGAAGATTTTATATGAATTTAGTATTCAAACGATTGTTTAAACAATTTATTGTTGTTATTTATTAACTTTCTTGTAGTGTACCTAGAAAGATGCAGTTTTTTCCTAATTTTGCAATTTATCAAACCGAATATAATATAGCCAGACAGATTTGACATAAATTTACTAATTTAACAATTGTTTAAACAATTGTTGAATTTACAATTTTACATCAAATCTATCTTTTATTATATTCGGCTTGATGAGTTGCAAAATTAGAAAAAAACGGCAACTTTCCAGGTGCCGTAAAAAAAAGTTAGTAAAGAACAACAATAATTGTTTAAACAATTGTTGAATTAATAATTTTACATCAAATCTATCTTTTATTATATTCCGCTTGATAAATTGCAAAATTAGAAAAAACTGCATCTTTGTAGGTGCAGAACAAAAAAAGTTAATAAATAATAACAATAAATTGTTTAAACAAATGAAAAATGCAATATAATATTTTTTATATCTATTATTTGACATCATAAAACACTCACAGTGAAAAGTCTGCATGATTTCAAGTCTTTTTGTAAAATAGAATTAAAAAAAATATCTGAATCATCCCGGTTATCTCCGTACATACATTGATAAAAGTTATAAATAATCAAGAAGAAATTTTTTTTAAAAATTTGTTTTTACATTTTTTGAAAGTTCTTAAGATTTTGTTCAGTGACTTAAAATCGCGATTCAATTAAGGCAAAACTTTAGAAGATATGGCAATTTCAATTTGTCTGGCCCACCCTGGGTGGGCATCTTGTCAAGCGAAGGATAATCAATTATCCTAAAGGAAAAAGCATTTTATTGTCTTGTTTTCAAGTAAATACTGTGGAAAATTTTACGAAATTTTAGTTTCGATATAGGTGGTGCTACCTTACTAGAGCCTATATATAAATGACTACCACGTCAAGTTAAAAAGAAAAAAAATACGAAAACCTTCAAACACACATTTTTTGGGATCTTTACCCCAATTTTTTTATCTTGCGCATATTTTATGGATCTTATAGTGTATGATTTAAGGTTAAATTTAGGCCTATATAGAAGTTTCTATCCCCACAGGTTGAGGAGAAAAAAATACTTAAAACCCTATTAGGGTCAGTCGGGGTAAATCCGAACGGGGGGTAAATCCGAACGCTAATTATTTCAGCTTAATTAAAATTTTTAAAAATAAGTTCGATATAAGAATTTTTACCTCAGATCCTCTTGAAGAGATTCTAAGTATTATCCCATTTTTTGTTTGTTAATTAGCAACAGCATAAACAAAGATAACAAGTATTGCAAAAAAGATTGAAAATCAAAGATGACACTCTTTCAGTATTTTGTCTCGTATTTCAAGAAAAAGAACACAGAAAAAACTTGGACTCATTTTTGTTGCAACTCATTTTCTTTTGGGTATCGAAATGAGTATTGGACAAACTTCATGTTATTCAAAATGATATTGGCTGGAATTTCAGATTTCTAAGTTGGCATCATAAGCAGAGTAATTTTGTATTTCAATTATTGTTTCTAATATTTCAACAACACCAGAAAGATTATTTTGACCAGTACGAATATTTAGAAGTTTTTAAATAAAAATTATTTATTATTATTTACGTAGATAATAATTAATTTCATAAGTTTTTAAATTTACCGCTATTATTTAAGTTGGCAGTACCGTTCCTGTTGTCAAAACACATGTTTTCATTTTTCTAACCTAAAAACATATTTCCTTTATTATTTTATTACGCGATTACAAGCAATTTTTAATCAAATATATTAAGTCTAGCGTGTTATTTACTTCTTTGTAATTATTATATTTCATGTTTTTGTGCAAAATTATTCGTTATTTCACAATATTTTTCCATTTTTCTTTTTCTCAAAATGAAACTTGCCTGTTTCATTTTGATACTTTTACCTTAGAACTCGAAATGAGAAAACCAGTTTCATTTTTGTTGCGAATCAAATTGAGTATAGAATCTATACTCAATTTGAATTCAGGTTTTTTCTGTGAAGCTAAAAATTCATTTTATTATTTATAATTGTTTGTTATGAATACTAGAACAGAAACTATATTTGATTTTTGCCTTCTGTAAAATTTTATTAATAATATCAGACCGTTCGTATTTACCCAAGAAAATTGGAAAACTGGGGTAAATCCGAACGGTATTTTTAATAATTTTTTTTTACATCAAAGCCACACAAAATTGTTTTTATTTGATTACACTATTATTTTAACATTATAAAAGTACATAGAAAAAAGTTTTTCTTTCTATACGTATCCTCGTTAGTAATTAATAAGCAGAAACTTAATCTCTGTTCTCTCGAAGGAGTGTTTCAATTTTTTTGCCAAATGGTTTGTTGAAAAAACTTTTTCAGGATCTTAATAAAATTTGGTATTCTACGGTTTTTGGGGTCGCTAATTACCAATTTGAAGTCAGTTTTTCAAAATTCAAAATGGCGGACGAGAATTAAAAAATTCATTGGATTCCCTCGAAAATTGTTACTCGGGGGGTTTCAGGGTTAGCAAATTTGATCATTTTTAAAAATAAGTTTTAGGAAAGTACGCCATTTTGAATTCAAAAAATTTGACTTTTATTTTTGTATTTACATTCAATCACTCCAAAATACTTTCTGTAGCAAGTTTTGCAAAAATCCGTTATGATTTGATAAAGTTATTGAAGGTTTTAATTGTGTAATGCATTTTAATTTTTAACCTGTTTGATTTTTGTATTTATATATGATGCATTATTACATAATAGGTTTATTATCGTATTTTTTTTGAGTTTTTATATAAGTTTAACAATTGCAATACTTTAAATTTATTTTCCCTAAGATTTTTCTGAAATACAGTGGCGTTCGTATTTACCCCCATATTTTAGGAAAGTTGCAAAGTATCGAGGTAAATACGAACGCTAAGTTTCGTGCGATTGTAATTTATCAAAAAATTTTTCTACCCCATAAAATTGTTCTATGGAAGTAAAGTAACAACTTCATGCACCAGAATACCGGAAGTATTTTTTTTTTAAAGAAAAAACTTATGTTATTGTTGAAACTTACTAAAAGCGTTCGGATTTACCCCAGTTGACCCTACCTTAAAAACACGATTTTTGGGGTCTTTACCCCCACTTTATTTCAAAATTTCAAATTTTTTTATCTTGTGTATATGGGTTTTAAAGTGTACGATTTAAGATTTAATTTAAAGAAATGTCCAGCACGTCGGGTTAAGAAGAAAAAAAATACTGAAAATCCTCAAAAATACGGATTTTGGAGAGTTTATCCCCACTTTACTAAAAATCTTGACGTGAAACGCAATTTTGCAACCCAGGATTGTGTTCAGCACACGAAAATACATTGGAAACCACTCCGACATCAAAAAAAAAATTTCTTTTGTAGAACTGTGTAATTACCCAGATAGCAATCGTGCGTCGCACGTCAGGCATTTTACGTGCGGGGCACGCAGTGATGGCTGTAATGCATGCATTTCGCCTGCACTTAATAATTATGTGTGAGGGCTAGTTCAGTGCAAGCAAAATGCCTATCATTTCGCTGACATTTACATGCGTGTAACAAAACACTTAGAAAATTTTCGTGAATTTTTGAACTTGAAAATTTTTTGTCGAAAAATGAACTTAAAAACTTTTATTAGTCTAAACTTTCGTTATTTCGACAAAAAATTTTTTATGTACAAAATTTGTCATTTTTTCAAAAAATGTCAAAGTCCACAAAAATTGACAAAATTTTTCTAATTCTAATTTTCTAGGTTTAAAGTGTCATTACTGTGAAAATTTTTCTAAGCTTTTGGTAATTTTTTAACGTTAAAATTATTAAAATAGGGAATCATAATTTAAAAAAAAAATAAATATATTATTATACAAAATTATTTAATAATAAAATATTCTTGTAAAATTGAATTTTAAAAAATTAGTTACCAACTATAAGTTTAAATTAGAAAATTGTTTCTTAAATCTGACTTGTAAATTTTTTGAGCAAAATTATATTTGAAACCATTGTACAAAGAATTTTTTTTATTTGCTAAATGTAAAATAATATTTGAGTTACATTTTATTTAAAATTTGTCCATGTTGCTCTTAGGGGCGGTGGAACGGGTCTCAGTGGAGTGTTGAGCTCCCCTCGCCCTGTTTACAATTCCCCCCCCCCTCCCAACCAATTTAAATTTTCTCATGATTTTGATTTTTTATACAAGTTAGGATTAATAAAAGGATGATATTTAATCTTTATTAGGTTAATATTTTTAGGCCCACATAACATTTTGTAATTACTGTTCGATTGTCGAGTGTTGAATTCAACATATAAAAACATATATGGGCATATCTCTAGAACTTTTAAACTTTATGTTATCGCTCATTATGATACCTTAAGAATTTTTTAAATAATTTTTCAATACCATAATTTGACCAATTATAGGGCTTTTTAAATGTATCATGCGGTATATAATTTTTTTCATTATGTAGGAAATGACGAACGTAAGTTAAAGTGGTGAAATCGACAGTTTCTAGTGTGTGATATTGACTGGTTTTTTTAGTTTATAGACTGTAACTTTTTTAACGAAACATTGTGTGTCTTGTGGCTTGCAATAGGAGTCGGTGGGAGTGTAAAGAACTAAAAAATCCATGAAACAATGATGTGCCTCAAATTGAATAAAAACTATGTAGCTTCAAACTTGCGAGACAACTTTTTCAAAATTTCTACAAGTTAGCAGTTAAACTGATATAACTTTTTTAACGAAGGTTTTTGAGTAACGGCACAACGGGATTATATTATCTACCTAATAAGCAGTAATTTGAACCCATACAGGAATGTGTGCCTCCTTTACACAAAGAATGCAATGACTTCAAACATTAAATTTTAAAACGTAACTCAAATCAAAATACCACATATTTGAAAAGCACATGTTGAATTTTGCTTCTAAATGCTCCCAACTCATTGTAATCTCTTCTCATGCATTATAAAAGTATACAGAAAAATAGTTAACCTTTGCACACTTCATTAAAACTGTATAATTAATAATGAATATAAACCTAAACTGTCCGACGCATAGTTTGTGAAGAAAAGTAAGTATTAACTAATAGATGTGTTTAAATCTGGCTGATATTTCTCACTCGAAGGTTTTTGGGGTCGCTGCGACTACTAATCTGAATTTTAAATTTTCCAAAATTCAAAATGGCGAATCCAATATGGCGGACGACTTTTTAAAAAAGTGATCCCATTGGCCTCAAATTTGTTACTTGGGGGTTTTTGATGTCGCTGATTATGAATCTGAACTTTGTTTTTCCAAATTCAAAATGGCGGATCCAATATGGCGGATGACTTTTAAAAAAATTGATCCAATTGGCCTGAAATTCGTTACTCGGGGGTTTTTTGCGTCGCTGACTACGAATCTGAACTTAGTTTTACAAAATTCATAATGGCGGATTCAATATGGCGGATGACTTTTTACAAAATTGATCCCATTGGCCTAAAATTTGTTACTCGGGGGTTTATGGGGTCGCTGATTACGAATCTGAACTTAATTTTTCAAAATTCAAAATGGTGGATCCAAAATTGCAAACAAAATTTTTTAAAAAATTTTTAAAAAAATAATTTTAAAAAATTCAAAAATTGTTATAAACTACATTTACTTATGACTTAATAAACAATAGGCCATAAAATTTTTGAAACTGTAGCATTAAATCATTTTAAAGGTGGTAGCGACCCAAAAAACCCCCGAGTAACAAATTTCAGACAAATTCGATCAATTTTTTTAAAAGTCGTCCGCCATATTGGATCCGCCATTTTGAATTTTAAAAAACTAACGTCGCATTTGTAATCAGCGACCAAAAAAATCCGCGAGTTACAAATTCCAGTCAGTTTTAAACACATGTAGAGATTTTGGGCAGGTTTTTTGCAATAAGGCCCACTGTGATGCCTAACAATGTGTAAAAATGAGTTACGCAAATTTTTTTATAGTATTTGATCAATACTGAAGACAATAAAATTTGTTTCACGAATGTGCCCTGAAAAAAAAATTAATTTTTCTAATATCTCAAAGTTTAAAAGTTCTAGAGATATGCCCATATGTGCCATTCCAGGAGTTTTTTAGCACTTTTCGGAGTAACCTTTCCAAATTAAATGAAACATTTTTTTAATAATATTTATTAATATAAAGGTCCAAAAAAATCACTTTTTAAGTAAAAACAATTGTTTATTTAAAAAATACAACAATAAATAATGCAAAAAATTCACTTTTTTCCTGCAACTCCAAATAAATTGGTTTAAAGATCAAAATTTTCCTTATTTTTCAAGCTTTAATACCGCACAAGAAACATAGAGTCCGAGAAAATATTCAACTCACAATTTTTTAAACAATGTTTGTTTACTTTTTTGTATTTTATTTACTGTGAAACGTCTGCTAAAGCTGCGCGCGACGTTTGGAAGTTGTCGCTTTTCTTATTGAGCAGAAGCTCATTACACTAGCGTAGTAAAAAACATGTTGTGTGAAAAGTGAGGTTTTTCATCCTTCAAAAATGTTTTTTATGATTTTTTACTGCAAAGTAGATAATTAAAAACCATTCAATGTGATAACCAGAAATTTTTTGCGGGTTAATCATCACGCGTGCGAGCGAAATGTTAGGCATTGTGCGCGCATTTTGCTATCTGGGTAGTAGTTGTTTAATTGTGAAGAATTTTTAAAAACAAAATTTGCACAGGTCCATGAGAAGAAAATTTGTAAGCCTAAATGCTTTATTAAGAGGCATGTCATCAGCAACTTCTATGTCCCCTCAATATATGAAGTTGATTTACCAAAAAACTGATCTTATAAATGCTAATGGAAATAATAAGAAAACTAATGATGACTCGCACTTAATGAAAGAGGCAAAGTAAGTATTAAATTCAAAACGCGAGAACTAAAAAAATTATATTCAACCCTTATTTTTTCGAATAAAAAATCGAAAATAATTTAAATTTTTAATGTGTGACCCGATAGCGGATCTAAAATATTATTTTCTTTATATTAAGACAGGTTCATTTGGAGTTAATAAAAATTTCCAAAAATATCAATGAAACATTTGGCTTGCAAATACTTTTGTCTATGGGACTTTCTTTAATTTTTATAACCGGACTGTTATATCTTTCTTATCTGATTATGTATCAAAAAAATTTGACAGAGTCAGATAGAATTTATGGATTAATTTCTTCGTGTTGTTGGTTATTCCTTTATACAATGAAAATTTTATCTATCAATCACATTTGCGATAGGACAAGTGCAGAGGTATTGTTTTGATTTTACCTCGGATTTTACTTTACATGATTGTAAACTGAACAAACGGCTAAAGTGTATTTAGTTTAATTTAGTCCAATAATTAATTATAAATTTTTTTTTATTATTATTATTTTATTCTTTATATAAAGACAGATCAATAAATTTTGTATGAAATAATATTTAGGCACTTCAAACAGGAAACGTAATATGTGAATTACACGAGCCAATGACAAATAATAAATTTCGTTCAGAGGTAATATTTAAAAATTTTCGTTTAGTATTTTTAATAATCAAAAAAAATATAATAATGTAAAGAAATTAAAATTTATTGCAGATTCGAGAATTCGTTCTGCAAATAATTCATAATCAATTAAAATTCACAGCAAACGATTATGTGGCTATGGACTATTCATTCATTCAAGGAGTAAGTAATTGGAAAATTAAATATAGAGAAAATATTCTGAAAAATATGATTTGTTTTCTAGGTTGTGGGATCGATAACAACATATTTGGTGATTTTAATTCAATTGAGCAGCGACATAGAACATGAAGGCTCTACATTAAAGTTAAATTCAACAAACGTAAATACTTAATTTTTATCAAAAATTTTGATAAATTCGTCAATAAATATATTTAAAAAAATAAACCTTATAAAATAAATGTTTACTTGCACTTTCACTGCGGAAACTTTTGTCATATATTACACAATAGACGAATCTTAATGTACATGTTAAGGTAATTAATAAAGTAAATAATAAATTTATGTTACAAATTTGTGTTCATTAAAATTTTCGAATATGATTTTTAATTAATCTTTTTTTCCAATTAAAATTTTTTTAAAGGAAGATAAAAGTAGTTCCAGATTTTTTATGGAAGGTCCATGTAATATATTAATATATTTTCATTTTTTCATATTTACTCAAAATGTTTTTTTTGTTTTAATGATATAGCCAAAAAAAAAATTTCGCAGAAATATATTAAAATTGAAAATTCATAACTTTATACGTACAAAACTTTTTAATAATAGCTTAAAATAGAATAAAAATTTAAATATAAAAAATATTAAAAATTTACTCATCATACCTTTGAATTGCAGCTGCATCCCTAAAAAGATTTTCAGCCAATTACATCTTTGGGTCTTCTTCAACACTGAATTGGGTTACATTGACACTGATCATTGGCTCTTTACACATTGGAGGCGTCACACCGTGAAATTCAGTAATTACCATGCTTAATCACCAATCTCCCTCCTGGACAAAAATTTTATTCAATAACGCATCAATAAGGTGTAAATAATGGATACACATATAAAATATAATTCATTTTTTAGCATGAATGTGAAACAATATTGTAAATATAACGTTTAATATTTGTGACGATAAAAAATTCTAAAGACAAGCATAGAAAGCATATCAAATATTAGAAACAATGAGACATTTTTTTTAATGCATTAAGGAGGTACCCCTTCTGCATTGCGAGTCAAAACAATGTCCATTTAAGTTTTTATTTGAATCACGTAGTACTAATGCAACGCTTGGCAACACTGTATTTGTTTCTCCCCCGTTTAACTTCGTGTCGACTGCAAATGTTTTAATTATGTCAGAATTAAATTTATTAGCTGAAAATTCTGTGAAAACATCAAAATGGTTTGTTTTTCTTATTTCACCTAACAGTTCATTTTTTTAAGACATCAATAAATTTTGCGGTTCTTGTTAACATTTTTTAAATTTTGTTTTATTAAATTTTTTAATTTATCATTTATTATTTGCAAATTTATTTAATATGTTTAATTAGTAATTAATGTATAATAAAATTACTAATTAATTACTAATTAATTTTAGACATGCTTTAAAATTTTTAATGATTTTATTATTAAAATAATTGTTATTGATAAAAGTAAACTTTTTCTCAAAATTTTCTATTGAAAATTCTATTGTACTTGTATTATTATATTAAATTTATAAATAAGAAATGTAATTAAATTATTTTTGACAAAAATTGTTATTAAAAATATGATATGTAGTATTAGATACGATCTGTTACTTTCGAAATTTCAAATTTCGCGCTTCTTGCTTACCCTAACCTTTAAGAAGCAACGTTGCCAAGCGTTGTGCTTAGTAACTGCTGATTAATAAAAAAGGGTGTTCTTTTATAAAGAATAATTAATTTTGAGTCTCACAGGTAAGGTATGATCATTTTTTTTGAAATTATCTAATCATTGGTTGTTTAACTTTAACTGTAAAAAGTTTTATTAATATCTCTCTGTTATATATGTCACAATTAAATTTCAAAGATCATGAAAATGCGTATTCTCATAAGACACCATGTAAAATGTGAAAAAATAAAATTGCTTATAACTTTTGTCAGAGTCAACCTCGACCTCAAAAAATTTAACTACATTTTTTTCAAACTAATATCTATAAGTGTGCTAACTTTCATTAAAAACTCTCTGTGAATTCTAAAGTCGGGGGTTCTTCCTTAATAAATTTTTAGTTATGATAACTAAAAATCTATTAATGCGCTATTATGTATATTCGAAAAGATGATATTATTTTTAATTAAATTAATTCATAAAAAATAAACATTTGTGAAGCATTTTTTTTTGCGGATTTATCTAAGTTCAAATGCCAGTCATGTTAATATATGTTAATACTTTTCATTCTTGTTTTTCTAAAATTAATAAGAACACATGAGAAATTGTTTCTTTTCAGAAAAATTCAAATATTCACAATATCTAGCAAAAAAAGTCGATTTTTTTCTTAAAATGGAAAATGCATTTGGAAAGGGATTATATTAATTGGGAATTAGAGGCGTGAGCGGTAGTAAATGTTGGCACCACCTGCTACTACGGATACTTTAGTTGTAAGGGGATTGATTTATTGTACCCTTGGGGATCGAAACACCCTTTATTCGTTCATGGAATATCTCTTCTTATTGTCCTGTTGATAGTATGACCAGCGTTTTCGAATCACAGTTACACATCCCTATATACTCGAATCGAATCTAATGCATTTTTAAAATGGTTTATCTAAAATTTTCAACAATTGTCAGCAATATTTATTCATATATGTACTTGAGACAACAAAAATAAAATTTTCACCTCAACATTAGTCGTAAAAAAATAGTTATAAACAAAAAAAAATAGTGTACATATTTTATAATATATATATATATACATATATGCGACCTAAAAAATACAACGTTTATTATCCAACAATTGAAAATAAAAAAAATATTTTTCACACAAAAAAATTGTTGATCGAGAAACATTGCAAAATAATTTTTTAGACAGAAAATTATAATTGCATAGAAAAATATTGTTTCTTCTAAATTGCTGATCAGATAAACATTGTGAACTTCACCAACGTAAAATATAAATATAGGGTAACGGGTACGCAGTGACCCAAATAGCACGGTTTGCAGTGCAAGGTTTGAATGTTTGTAAGGTAAGTTTGCAGCAAACTTGTGGCAAATATTGAAATGTCCTCCCTTGGCAAGTTTGCAGCAAAAACTTTCTGCAAACATGCTAAGCAAAATTGTCGAAAAGTTTCAAAAACAATTTGTAGCAAAATTGCGCTGAATATTTTTAGAAATTTAAAAATGGAAGTTTTAGTAAAATAAATATTTAATAGTTTTATGGAAAATTATTTTGTCAATTTCTTTTGAATTTAAATAATTAAATCACAGGATAGAAAATGAGAAATAACGAAACAATTATTTGAAAGAAAATTTTTTTAATTTATTCTCAGTGACTTTATACCTTATTTATAAGTTTTTCGTTCTTTTCTTATTTAACTTTATTTTTATGTTTTCAAGCCAGTAACATCGCAAATAATTGTGCTAAAATTTTAAAATGTTCTGTAAAAAATTTCTCCATGTGTACATTATCATTGAAATAAAGATCTTCTTTTAATAACTTGTTTCGCTATTTCTCTTTTCAACTTTAAATGAGATTTTATCGGGATTTATTAAAGATTTAGTTATAAAATAAATGTCAAATAAAAAATTTGCGTTAAAATTTTTAGTACATAAGTTTAAAATTAAAAAACACTTTGATAAAAGTTTGTAATATTAATTTAAAAATGTATGAAAACAGTGAACGACATCCTTTAATAAAATAAAAAATATTTAAACTACTATTTAAGTAACATGGTATTTATTAATATTATCACAAATTTTATTATTCAGATTTAATGTACAAAAAAAGTTGCTTTTAAAATATAATTATTTAACAATTTCTTCATATTTATAAAATTTGTCATCAATAAAGCACATTTTTTGAGGTTAGTTTTCTAGGAAGTAAAATATTGAGGAAAATACTTCATGAGAAAATATAAACAAATAAAATTATGTGTAAACTGTATCAAGTTTCTAAATATTGTATATTAATTTACTAGTGATATTTAATTCAATATTATTATTTCTATAGTTATTATCGTTTTTAATAGCAGGTGTCGTTCACTGACGATGCTGAAGTACGCAACGCGCGTTTATGGACCATGGTCAACGATTAGAAATCAAATTTTCTTTAACACGGAAAATTATAAAATTGTTTATCTAAAAAAATATTTTTTTATAATTTATTAATTAATAAAAACTACAAGAAATATTTTTTAGGCAAAAATTTGTAGAATTTTTCATTGTAAAAAATTATTTCTTTAAAAATCATTTATCGTTACGTATTTCAGCTTCGTGTTCACTGTACGTTTTACCCTAAATATGTATAAATATAAATAAATTCATTGTGGCGACTAAAACTTTGAAAAAATCCGATTTTTAGATAACATATTTTTTAAAAATATTTTTTAAAAATTCAAGTAAAACAACAATTGCATGTATGTAATTATTATTTATAAAAATATAATAATATATCTAACCTTATATCCAGGAACTCACGTTGACTTCGTCTAAACAGGATAACGAATTGCAACTGATTTAATTGTCATCGGGATTTTACGATCTTTGGTTTAAGGTACCATTTGTACATTAATGTAAATAAACAGCTCGAGTTGCAGGTATAAAGATAATTATTAATTAGCTTCGCTAATACCCGGTTTTCTTGATCAGCGATTACCCTGCAATAAATTTAACCCCTTCGTGCCCAGGCAAAACTGAGCATATAAAAAAACGAAACTAAAGTGGTTCCTATAGTTTTTGGGGTCGCTGATTACGAATCTGGTGTTAGTTTTTGAAAATTCAAAATGGCGGATTCAATATGGCGGACGAAAAATCAAAATTGTTCGGATTCGCTTAAAAATGGCCACTCGGGGGTTTTCGGGGTCGCTGATTACGAATCCGATACTAGTTTTTCAAAATTCAAAATGGCGGATCCAATATGGGGGACGAAAAATCAAAATTGTTCGGATTCGCTTGAAAATGGTCACTGAGGGTTTTCGGGGTCGCTGATTACGAATTTGATATTAGTTTCTCAAAATTCAAAATGGCGGATGAAAAATCAAAATTGTTTGGATTCGCATGAAAATGGTTACTCAGGGGTTTTCGGGGTCGCTGATTACGAATCCGATATTAGTTTTTCAAAATGACGGATGCAATGTGATGGACGTATTTTTAAAATTTATTAACAAAAAAAATCCAACGCACTTCTTGCGGAACCTCAAGGGTTGTGTGGAAGGCCGTTACAGACATAAAAAAATAAACTTCTATTGCTGTTATACTTTTAACTTATTTTAATTTGTTTAATTTAAATTAGTTTCAATCGATTGTTAACAATTATTAAAAATTGATCTGCAACATTGGATTTAAGACTCAATTTTTTGAAAACTAATACCAAATTCGTAATCAGCGACCCCGAAAACCCCCCAGTGACCATTTTCAAACGAATCCGAACAATTTTGATTTTTCGTCCGCCATATTGGATCCGCCATTTTGAATTTTGAAAAACTAGTATCGGATTCGTAATCAGCGACCCCGAAAACCCCCGAGTGACAATTTTCAAGCAAATCCGAACAATTTTAATTTTTTCGTCCGCCATATTGGATCCGCCATTTTGAATTTTCAAAAACTAACACCGGATTCGTATTCAGCGACCCCAAAAACCCCCGAGTACCAAGTTTCATGCGAATCTAAAATGTTTTAAAAATTCGTCATTTTTCATAATTATTTATATTTTTTTCTGAACAATATAAATTTTTAAACAAAATGTGAGTTCCATTTTTTGAAAGCTCTATCCTTCCTGAAAATAATGCACCAAGTTTGAATAAAAAATATTTAATCTGTTTAGAGTTCTGGAGGTTTTTGTAGGTGGGACATATATGTCCCATGGGCACGAAAGGGTTATATAAAAATTTTTGTATTAACATTGTAAACATTTTTGTGTTTATTTCATGAACACTTCACTTCCTTATTCAGATATTATCTATTTTTAAAGTATATTAGAGTTTAAATAAAAACTGAAGTCTAAAATTCTTAATAATTTCACTTTTTAAAAAAGTCCATAACTTTTTAAACTTACATTAAAATCAAATACCAAAATTTAATTTTTTTTCAAAATTTCCTATTTTTATAATTTTAATAACGTTCTTTCTAGAAATGAAAAAAGCGAAAAAATATAGTTAGATTTTATGGGATTCGAAATATTTATTTATATTTATTTATATATTTTTATTTATATTTATTTATTTATTTATTTACACTCAGAAAATGTCATTTTGTAAAAATGTTATTTTTGAATTCCTGATGTCAGAAAACAGAAAAATATGTGACAAACTAGAATTTGAAAAATATTATTTAAAATAATAAAATATTAATATTTAAAAGATTAAAAACAATAATAAAATGCTGGTAGCTTAATAAAGTCAAGGTTCTCTATATAATTGTTTTTATAACACGAAAACTTGTGTTGAGGGAGTAACATATTTTGAAGGGGTGTAATGTTGTAACATACGGGGTGGATTAGAAACAGAAATTATAGAAAAGTAAACAACCACCTCGAAATCCTTCTAATCCTTAAACGTCGTTTATCATATTTTAGTATGTCAAAGTCAAATATATCATAATTCATTTTTCCAGTTAAATAGGACGTATGCTTTAATTACTGTGATTTTTTTAAAATAATTAAATTGAATAAAATAATTGTCTAAAGTATAAAATTTGTTTAATTACAAAATTATTTAAATTTCAAATTTTTTCTTCAAAACTAATATTTAAAAAATTTTTTTGTGTTTTTAATAGACAATTATTTTTTTAAATTATATAGGTAGCCATACAAAGCTGAAGTACGCAACGTTTATGATAAACGATTTTTAAAGAAATAATTTTTTAAAATGAAAAATTTTATAATTTTTTGACTAAAAAATATTTCTTGTAGTTTTCATTAATCAACAAATTATAAAAAAATATTTTTTATACAAAAAAATATAGAATTTTTCATTTTCAAAAATTATTTCTTTAAAAATCGTTTATCATAAACGTTGCGTACTTCAGCTTCGTGGTAGCCATTTATTAAATCGAAAACTCTTTATTAAAGAGAAATATATTAAAGTACCTATTCCTTTTGTCATATTTCCATTAAAACAAAGAATAACATTTTTTTAAATTTATACCTATATAAACTTTGGTATTGAAATTTAATCAATTTGGACTAAATAATTGGTAACATTTTATTCCAAATTGATTAAATTTTAAGATCAACGGCCTTTAATACCAAATTTAATAAAAAAAAATTAATTTGAAGAGGAATATTTTAGTTCTGAGTTGAATAAACTTTTTAATTAATTTTTAGTTCAATATAATGTTTATTCAAATATTTTTGAACGCGTAAGTGACAATGTTCATGATTTTAAAATCCCCGTTATTTTCTATTTTTTTCATTAAATTTTCTATATTTTCCAGGCATATTTAGTGAAAAACAATTTAAAATTAAACTGATATTGCTTTGTAGAAAACAAAAAAAAAAAAAAAGTTATAAAAAATTCTTTCATTTAATTTGTATGCGTAGAAGTGTTAAAATGGAGTACACTTCAATTCTTTGATTCATTAAGAGTCAAAGAAAATGTAACGGTTATTGGAAATTTTATTGGTATTGAATTTCTAAGTGACAAAGTAATTAGTGTAGATTTCTGTTTTTCAATTTGAATGTTCAGAAATCATTGAATTGAACGCTTATTTAAAATTTAATTGATATTGCTTTGAAGAAAATAAAAAAAAGATGTAAAAAATTCTTCCATTTAATTTGTATGGGTAGAAGTGTTAACATGGAGTACACTTCAATTCTTTGATTCATTAAGAGTCAAAGAAAATGTAACATACAATAGTAATTTAAGGGAACATATCCAGTCACCATTTTCAAAAAAATCTCGACTTTTTCCTTTTTTTATTAAAGTACAACTTTTTAGAAATATTTTCCCTAAGTTTCGAATCAATTTGAAGAAAATTTATAATGTTATAATAAATATTAACTTTTAACGTAAATATACCATTAGTAGCGGCGCTACGTGTCTCTAGCGCTAGCACGCAAACAAAACTTGTTCCTAACAAAAAGATCTACATTTGTAAAACCAAAAATTTTTGGGTTTACTTATTTTGTTTATTGTTTCCTGTTTTTTTACCAACCCCACATAACCTTGGCATGCGGAAGCCAAGGTATCTGTATACAGATTTCCCAAAAGTCCCCAAGCAAAAAAAAAAAAAAAAAAAATTGTATTGCACAATTATTTGAATAAATATTATTGAATTGACATTATATTGCACAAAAAATTGAATTGAAAATTCTTTTTTGTGAATTTTCGGTGAATTTCAACATTAATATAAATATAAAAATAAAGAATGAATTTTTTTGTTTTCTAATAATTAATTTTTAAATTATTATGTTGCGCTAAACACAATTCCAATCTTTAAACAACGTTTAATGATATTTCAAATCCTATTGTAACATTAAATTTAAAAAATGCAACGTTTTTTATAGTTTTGTATAATAAAGAATCAATACAATATAAACTATATTTATTTATATAAAAAAACATTTTAACTATTTTTTACAAAAATCATTATAGTCAAACAATTGTACAAAATTCATTAATAATTCTTATTTTGCAAAAGTAACAGCGTTTAAGAAACTGAATTCTTATTTCCGTACTTTAAACGATTTTTAAATTTCTTAGGATTAGTACCAAATGCTCTTAATCGATCTGCACTTAATTCATTTAATGGATTTTCTGTAGATTCTAGTTTGGCCAACGTATTTTTTAATTTTAAGTATTTTTGTTTCTTTTCTAATTTTTTTCTTCTGTTTTCTTTCTTTCTCATTATTTTTTCATATTTTTCAGATTTATTGTCATCCTTATTATTGTTTGTCATTTCCTCTTTTACCTCATTAATTGAAACATTATTTTGAATCTTTTTCTTTTTATCATTTACTGTCTGTTTTGTATTGTCTTTATCATCGTTTGCTTCAGTAATTCCACTTTGTGTACTATCATTTAAATTTGTATTATTTTTAATTTTCTTCTTTTTAGGTTGACGTTCATCATTATTCATTTTACTCTTCGACTCAACAATTGTATTCAATTTTGAATCATTTAAATTTTCTTGTTGATTTCCTTTCTTCTTTTTCTTACTAGGAACATTTTCTATTTTCTTAATCACTGTATCATGTATATTATTCAATTTGCTTTGATTTTTATTTATCTTCATTTTCTTGAAAAGGATATCTTCATTTTTTTCTTTGAAAACATCGCTATGTTTACGTTTTTCAGATTTTGATAATAATGTCTCTGAAACTTGAAGATTATTTTGTTTATTTGATGTCGAAGGCTCTGGAGAATTTGAAATTCCATTTTCAGGCGCCTTTCCTTTTTTCTTTTTCCTTCTTTTCTTTTTAGTTTGCTCTGTTGGAATCGTAGATTCCTGCTCTTCAGTTTCTTCTTCAGGACTAAAAAAAAAAATTGAAATTAATAAACATTTAAATAATCATTTTATCACTCGATTGTCTTTAATAATAAAATATGAATATAGCAATCGAGTTCAGAAAAATAAAAAGAAAAAAACACAATCGTTGTATTCATAATTCATTATTCACAATTATTGTTAACATAATTTATAAATATATAAAACTTTATTAACCTGTACACGCTTTTTAATATCTTCTTCTTAAGAGTTTCATTTCTGGCCTTTTGTTGAAATTTAAATATCTCATTCTTTTCACTTTCTTCTGATTTAAATTCAAGAGCTTTTTTCAAAGAACACCACTTATTTAGTTCTTTATCGTCGGCGAATAAAATCTATAATTGAACATTTTTAATTTAAAAATAAATTTTCAAAATCTAAATTTCAGTTTTTCTTTTTAATGAAAAATATAAAAACTATATTTACCTCTTCTACCGTTAGACCATAATCATTTGGAATTGATTTTCTAAGCTTAAATCGACAAGGAATATCGCCAATCATATCTTCATAGTCCAAAGCATAATAGCGATCAATGTACTCTTGATATGTTGAATGAATTTCAGGATCAAATTTCGGTTTTTCTTTAGGAAGTTCAATGTTTTTATTTCGTCCCTTTTTCTTCTTTTTCGAGTCCTCTCGTTTTGATTTATTATCTACTGATGGATCATAATCAGCATCCATCTGAATAAAAGGCAGTTGAATATTTAATTTAAAATTTATTTGAAAAAAAAATTAATTTTCCTGACAAAAATCAAAGAAAACTAAAGAAATTAACTTACGTTAAAATTATCATCTTCACAATTAGGTTCTTCATTGTAATAATCGTTTCCATCATCCACATAATTATTAAAATCATTTATTTCTTCGTCAATTTCAGGAAATTGTGGCTTTATATCATTTTCGGGTACAGTGTAAAAATCATCGTTAAACATTTTTCCCATTTTTTGATCATATTCATTTGGATCAAAATCACCTTCCAAGTCTTCAATTTTTATACCGAAATCATCATTCCCAGTGATTTCCTTCAACTTCTCTAATTTTTCCTCAATTTCCTTTCGTTTTAAAGCTTTCAACTCTTTAAGTTCTTCTTTTTTTCGAAGTTTGTCATCATCTTTTCGTTTTTTTAATTCGGCACGTTTTTCCGATCTACGCGTATCTTTTTTCCTCAATGAATTTTCCAATGTTCGAGGATATCTTTTAATAAACTCTTGATCGGGTTCTTCAAATCGAAAATTATATTTATATTCAAATTCTTCTTGACGTTCAATATTTTGTTCGTCTTCTGATAAATTTTCATCACTATCGTGTATCATATGATCGTAGTCACGATCAAAATCTGATGCATTTTTATCCATATACTTTTTATCTAAAATATAATCGCGCAAGAATTTTTCACCTGGATCTAAATTTGGATTTGCCCAAAAATCTCGAATTGGTTTTAAAACTTCGTCTTGGGGATCAATGTTAACTTCTTGTCCTTTAAGCCATTTTTTCCTAGTTTCTTCCTGTAAAATAAAAAAAAGAATTAATCCATTTCTAATTTACAAACGTTTACAAATATTTAATTGACAGGGTGTCTAACAAAGATTGAGAAAAAAATTCCCTGACTCCTCCCTGAAATTTTTTGATTTTTCCCTGACTTTTTAATAACCTTATTTCTGTTTTTTTTTGACAAAAATATGGTTACTGACATATTTAACAATAAATTAATTTCTAATGGTAGTAACAAATGGTAATAAAAACCATTCAAGTTTTTTTAGATTTAAAAATTTTTAAATTCACAAAAAATTATAATTTTTGTAGAAATTTACAGAAATTTCCCTGACTTTGAATTAAATTTTCTGAAATTCCCTGACTTTTTCCTGACCGTTAGACACCCTGATTGATAAATGAAATACTTTTCGAATTTGTTCTTCAGACTTTTCTTTCACAACTAGTAAATTTTCATCTTCTTCATCATCTTCTACAGCAGCTTTGAAACTATTTTTTATTTCATTTTGCTCTTCAACATATGTGAGACCATTTTTACTTTGTTCTTTAGGTCCAGTTTCATCTTCACTATCACTATATTTACCTCCTCTTTCAAGAATAATTTTACGCTCAAAATCTCTTAATGTTACAGCTTTTTCTTTCTTTAATTTCTTTTTCTTATTTTCTTTACCTTCCTCAAGATTTTTAGTGTCATTAAAAAACGATACTTTCTCATCGTGAATTTTTGGATCTTCACTTTTTAAATAAGCCAGTACTTTAAAGAAATCGTCTTCAAATTTTTCTGACACCTCCTGAAAATTGAATTAAAATATATATAATAGAAGATAAGATTAATTTTAAGTATTTTAAATTGAATGTATAACTCACGACTTCATCATCGTCCTCTGATGTATCGCTTGAGGAATTATCACTCAAATTATCCAGGTTGCATGATTCTTCACCATAACGTTGTTTTACTATTAAAAATTACAAAAATTTTATACTAGGAAAAGTTAAACGAATAGCATCCATTGAATGAAGGTTATGTTTCTCACAAAAATACACACACAGAAAGTTACTACATAAACTAATTTATATTATAAAAATAAATTAAATACTTATTAAAATAAAGGAATAATTTATATAACATAACTATATTAAACACTAGCGTATATTAAATCATAAAAATTAAAATTTAACATTTGTAAATACTTACATTTGTGTAATTCTTCTTTCTGTCGCCACTTATTGTAATTCTTTGCATATTCATTATTTACTTTAAATTCTGGATTCGAATCAGAATTTTCATCATCGGATGAAGAAAGCATTCTTATTTTTTAAATAAAATGCATATATGACAATTGGAAAAATAAAAACACGACACAAACCAGCAAACACGTTTAGTTACGGAACCTAACCTCAAATATTCTAAACTCCACGCGACCACGCAGGTCTACGAAAAATTCGTCTGCTAAAGCATTTAAACTTGAACAGTTTAGCTTTCGTACAAACAATATTAACAAATTATTTTTAAATAACAAAAAAGTATATTACAAAATAAAATTTTAAAAAATTTAACAATGCCGTCTTGCACAGAACCAAAAAAAAATTCAATGTTTCTCATGAAATTATAAATATTTTGGATATCTCTTTCGATAATTGTCAAAATAACACCAGGTAATAAAAAATATTTTTCAATTGTAATATTTTATTATTTTAGTTGTTTCATGAATAAAATTTGTTGAATTAAATTGAATTCAACAATTGAAATTTGTATGCAATTGTTTAGTTCAAATTATTGATTATTATGATAATGGATACAGTGACAGGTATCCTGACAGTGTACGACACAATGTTCTTAAAAATGATAATATAAATATAAAAAAACGTTTAAAAAAAAGAATTTTAAATGTATAAATTGAATAAAATGTAATGTTTAGCTAAAATTGCTTTAATATTTAATTACTTTATATTTTTTTAAATAAATATTTCACTTCCTAGAAAAATATAACCTCAAAAATATTGCTATGCATTTATAGCTATATGGCAAATTTTCGAAAAATGTGAAAATTATTGAAACATAATTATTATATTAACATACAATTCTTTTTATATTTTATGACTAAATAATGAGATTTTTAATAATAATAATAATAATAATAATGAACTTGCTGCTAAATAAATAGTTTAAATATTTTTCACTCAAAAACAGATATTCACATTTTTTTTATACAAATATTTAAATAATTTCTGCTTCTAATATTACAATTATTATTTCAGATTCGAAAATGAATTTTTCAGGAAGAACAATTATTCAGTCATTGAGACTAAATACTTTGAGAAAATCATGTATTTTTCGATTTTCCGAACTATTGAGGAAAAATAATACACGAACATTTGTTTCACCATCTAAAAATGGATTTAAAACAAAAAAAAAATTGAAAGATAATGTGTCATCTAAGGCTTATTTAATATATAATAATTCTTTTTCGGCGACAATTGAATTTGGTTTTCATTTAAAAAGAATAATGTTTGTTATCATTTCAATGCACTTTATTTACTGTGTTAAACTTTACTTCGAAGGTAATCTTAAATTTCCTATGATGTTTGGAAAAGAGATTTTCATAAGAAGAGAAACAGATTTGATTTTAGGATATTCTGTAGCATATTTTATTATACTGTCTATAATTTTTCTATGTAAATGGACAGTTTTACGAATTTATTTCGATCCCACAGAAAAAGTTTTCAAAACTGTAGTTGTTGGTAGTCTACCATATTTAAGAAGGATTATTAATATTAAACCAAATAGTGTCTCTATTAAAACTAGAAGTTATCTTACAAAAGAACATCGAACATTTGAATATACAGTGGATGGTAGGAGATTATTAATGTTTGACGATTATTTTAAAACGCCATCCGATTTATATAGAATGTTAAAATATATTCCTTAAAGGAATTTTTATTTTAATAAATTAATATTATGTATAATTGCTGTTTTATAAATTTGCCTTGACCAAAAAAAAAAAAGGTATTTATTACTTTTTTTTTATAATAGAAGTTCGTATAGTGCTGATTTTTGGATAGAACTAAGAAAAATATATTGTCTATTGTAGAATATATTTATTTCTACTAACTGAATATAAAAGGAAAGAAAATGCTCCTTTTAACTAAAGAAGAAGAAGAAGAAATGAACATAAAGCAAAAGCGAAAAATATGCACTGCATCAGACTCTGAGATTCAAAGTGATTCAAAGTTCTTTGCCTCTGGATCCTCATGCATGGGAGTAAATGAGAAGGAAACATTAAGATCTTGGATAAGGGTCTTTATCCAGGCGAGAGTCGCTTTGTAGTTTCCCCTTTCCGTTTTTGCGCAATGAACAATATTGGACTTGAGTGAACCATGCGCATCAAGATCGACTTGAAACCCTGTTGCGACACCTGCCACCGTCGCAACGACGTCGAGACGCCCCAGTCGAATTATCTCTTTGCTTCCAAAAGCTCTTCCTAATTTTTTTTTCTCTCTTTCTCTCTTTCTATAATACAAAATGCATCGCAATCAACGAAATGGATCATTAAACAATGATCGTGACAGTGTCAAAAATGACCTGGATTTTCCGTGACCTTCGCAAATTCAAATATATAGTGTTCTTTTGTAAGAAAAAAAAAAAAAAAAAATTAGCGTTTATGTAGTCAAGTCTCGGTCATTGGTCGGGGTGACTCCCGTTCCTTATCATCTATTGTCACTCATTTTAATTATAAGGAAACAACAGTTAAAATAAATAATTCAAAGATACGAAAAAATGGCCTGTTCGCCAACAAGTATTGAAAGTCAAATAGACAGCTTCCTAGAACAATTCAAACGTAGTGCTTCCCGCGCGATGGAGGAGACTCATCATCTTCATCATCATCATCATCATCAACAACATCATCTCCAACGGTCCAGCATCTATAATGCCAGCAGTATCAGTAGAAGTCGCAGTGGTAACCTCGATCTTGAAGTTTTGGAAGTTGGTAAGCATTTGTTTTCATTTTTTTTTTCTCACAACAATGATCAAACTAGTTGAAAATTTTTTCAATCATTTTATGCTTTTTTAATTGCGAACCAATTTACAAAAATTTTAAAGATCATTTCGTTAATTAATACAAAAATAATTTTTCAATAACAAGAGAATTTGATTTTTCCATAAATTATTATTAAGAAATAATTCCTATAAAATGGATATAATAAAATTATAAACGGAAAAAAATGTTTAGTCAAATAATTTATTTGACTACTACCTAAAAATTTGTTAAATAAATATTTCTCAAACCAAATTATTTTTCATTGTATAAAATGTAGATGAATATTAAATTTAATATTTACATTAGATTATTATTATAGAGTAATATAATATTAGTATAACGTTATACGATATTAAATATTTAGTAAAGAATAATTTTACAATATAATTTTTTTTTAATTAATATAATAAAATAATAGACTGACTTAATGTTTCTTCCTTTTTTTTTATTTCAAAAATAGTTTTGAATTTAAAAGAAAATTAGGAATAAATCGAAAGACAAAGGATATATTGAGTCGAAATAATCTTACTTGGAAGAAGTTTAAGAAATTTCATATCACGTCCTGCACCTATTATATGGAGTTTGAGTTTAAAAAAGTTTTATCGTATAGATATCTATATTGTATAAAGCTCTTAGAGAATATTTCTTCAATTTAGATCAGTTCATAATGTGCTTTAACATCTTGATGTATCCAACTTTTATCTGATTCATATATTGTTCATAAATGTGTAAAAATCAATTTTACTGTCTCTCTCACTCTCATCACATAAAAATATTAAAACAATTTTATATCATAGTTGAAAATTTATAATTCCAATTTATTTATAAAACTTTGAAACAACATTTTACAAATTATTGAATAATAAACTGAGAACTAAATTTTAAAACTCTATATCATGGAGAATAAATTGTACACTTGAAACAAATTTTTCAATGAATAGGTATAAGGTTTAAATATGCATCTCAAATTCTGAACATTCAAATGAACAAAATCATATCTTTTTAGTTTAAAAATTTTTTTTTTCAATTACTACAGTAATGAAAAATAAAGAGATACGTTAAATATTTAATAAAATATTAAAAACATTATTAAACATTTTTTTCAACAAATATTGTTAAGAAAATTTTTAACCTAATTTCTAATTCATTAAAAATAAAAATCAATTATTTCAAAAATGGCAAACTTTATTTTTAAATTTAATTATTCATCAATATTCAGTTACTTTACACGAATTTTCATATTCAATTACATATTTTATAAATTCAATTACATGTATAATATATATCAATTCAGAGATTTTTGTTCTTTTTTTGTTCACGATCGTAATTTTTTCAATTATCTTATCTGCTTCTGTAATTTTTTTTATTATCTATACTTTTTTATGAGCTTTCTGCATAGGAAGATTTATTTTAGAAAATCGGTTTTTAAACACTTTTTAGGTGAAAACAAAATTTTGCGGTTTTCATTATCAAAATCGTGATACTTGAATTTTTCTAATTTCGCTGTTAATCGAGCAATAAACATAAAAATAATTTAATTTACAAAATAATATTAAATATGTTTAAAACAACAATTGAAAGAATTTTCTATTTCTTAATTAAATGGTTCATATCTTTTTCTTTATGTACCTTTATATAAATTATTGATTCGAATACAGTTTATTTGATGTAAAAAAAAATTATTTGGTCTCGAAATAAATATTTATTTGATAATAGTATTAAAAACCGCGATAATTTAAATAAAATAGATTTTTTTTAAATTATAAATAAAAGCCCCATATTTTATTTTATTAATAGAAAATCTTTGATATTCAATATAAGTATATATCGGGTCAAAAGTCTTGTTCCTGTGTGTTATTGGATTTTTAAAGATAAAAATATCTATACCCGTTTTTCACTTCGTCGATTTTATACTTAAAAATTTCTCATATATTTTTTTTCAATTTACTCTTAATTATTAAAATCCACTGAATATTTTTTTCGCAAAATCTATATTTTTCTATAAGTTGCAAATTTATATATATATATATATATATACATTTTTTAATTCTACTACGTTGCACATGAAGTGGTCTATGAATCTTTACATGTTAAAGGCAACACATAGTTCATGTACTTAACTTTCAGAACAGCTCTTAAGAATATAAAGTTATAGATTTTTGATGAGTTGCACTTTTTTCCAATATTCATAATCTTTTTATGCTTGGTTCAGTAGTCGAGATTTAAAACTATTAAGTTAAATTAAATTTAAAAATTTCTATAATCTTTTCGAAAAACTAACAATAAAAATTAAATGACAAGGAAAAAAATAAATTTTTTATATAAAAATTCTTTTTAATGAATTTAAAATTAAATTTTTTTTTTTCTATAATAAAATAATATTTAACTTTATAAATTAATTATTTAAATTTCATTAATATTTTGTTAAAATATTTCTTTAAATATATATCGCATAAATTTGAAATTAAAATTAAATTAACAATAGATCAATATCTTCGGTAATTTTATTTTATTCAAGAGAATCTTTATTCTCTTGACATAAATACGTATAACTTCATTAGTCGAACTAATTTATTAAATCGATTTTCATTGTATGATAAGAGTAAATAATTCTTCTATTTAAATGTTTTCCATTTACGTAAATTCAATTTGTATATACTTTATATACATTGAATACTCCATTAGTAATTCGGTCGTCATGTCATTAAATAATTTAATCCATTTTTTTTTAAAGATTCTAATTCTATTTTTTAACATTTTCTATTTAAATACTCTCAAGAGATTATAAATTTTTGTCTCTTCTATGTATAAATATATTATACATATGCATTTTTAAACATGCATAGTCTAAGAATTTTCTTGTAAAACAAATAAAACTTTTTTTTTTATTTTAAATTTGGAAGCGGAAGTTATTTAAATTCCTACAATACAGGAAAACTATAATCGTTTAAGTCATGGGAAGTTGAAAAATGTTCATCACCTGTTTTCTACTAATCCTCAACAAGAATATATAAGCATAAAGAATGAAAAATCGAAAATATTTAGAAAACTGAAATTCCATTGGTATCATTTTGTACTATGTGCTTGTATACAATAATTAAATTTATGTAATTTCCTAAAAAGAAGCGATGTAACGAATTGAATGACGAAGTAGAAAAATTGCATAACGTCTATTTAGACTGCTGTTTACAATGATATGAACGAAAAGGATATTTTACCAATGATTTTTAAATCATTCATATTAAAAAAAAAATTCCTAAACTTTATTAATATAAACATCTATGAATATTATGTGAACATTAATAAATTGAAAAAAAATAGAATAGAAATTAATTGAATAACGTTATATAATTTTACCACAACGTATTATTACGTTCTATATATAACAAATATAATAATAGTCACAATTGTTATAGGCAATGTTCCTATAAATTCAATTAAATATCATTTGAATTTCTCTAATTCAATTTCATAATCAATCAATTCGTAAACTATTGAAAGTTTAATAACAAGAATATCTGCAACACTTGGACAAATTATTCTTCAAGTAAACTTTAAAGTAAAAAAAAATAAAATAAATATATATTATTAAATTAAATTAATAAAAAAAAAAAAAAATTCCAGAATTATTTTCACGTACTTAATTGAAGATAAAATTAAGAATAATATTCAAGATGATTCAATTTAAATATAGATTCAAACACTTAATTTTCAATGTTAGTCATTTATATGAATAAATTAAAAATGTATTAAAAATGCTAAATAGATTAATTAAAAACATAAGAAATTGCGAAAGAGAAATTCAATTAAAAATAGCCTTATCTTTTTTTTTTTTTTGAAAAGAAAAATTAAATATATTATTATAATATTAAATACAATTAGTGCATTTAACAATGTACAATTTAGGCACCTCATGAAATTTATATTCATTAAATATTGTTTCCAATGAAGTACACCAGAGGCCAGTCTGAAAATGCATTGCTCGCGCCTCGACTTCTGTCAAATGTAAGAATAGTATCACTAACACTACGGGAACAGAAAACAAGACGAGGCCGTCTGTCAGCTCTCTCACGATGAATTTTTATCGATTTAAATGAGAGTTAATACACCAGGTGATATTATGTTCATGTCAAATAAAGCTTCGTGATATTATCGCGTTTTCTTCTCACCAGTGAATAAATATAATTCAAGTGTCGCAAATAACAAAAAAACAAAAAAAAGTGCAATTTTATAGAAAAACATTCCTCGTTGAGATACAATTTAATACTATAGTTATAGTGCCGGCATTTATAAAAAAATAAATGCACATTTCAAAAAATGATTCTACGACAAAAATCCTCACACAACTGTAATTGTCCTTGTCATCATCACTGCAAAACAGGATGTCCAGGTGTGACATGTTTTTTTAAAATCTTATTGCAAATTAATTTTATTTAGAAAAATCTCTATTCTATGCGGTTGAACGAGGAAAAATTTCACTTTGTTTTTATGCTTTACTAAATGTATATAGACAATTTGCCGACCTACGATAAGCAAATTATTGATTTACTCTGACTTCAAGCTTTGTTACTACCTCCTTTACGTGAAAATTCAATGCTTTATTTTCAACGAGTTTAAATAGATATATATTAATAAGGACCGTTTTATTGGAACTGAGATAACGAAAAGCTATTTTTGAAGATTAAAAATAGTGACGTAAAAAATGCGCGAAAAATGATTTTTTATTTGCCTCACAAGAATTATTTGAAATTATGGAACTATTGAGTAGATAATTTTTATATATTAACTAAATATGAATTTATATATAATAAATATAGTAATTAATAACTAGATACATGTACATATTTTTATTATTAACTATACTATATTTATTAATATATTTAGTAAATATTAAATTGTTGTCAATACAATAAAATGTTAAAGAATTTATCTATTTTAAATAGTACATCACTAATTTTTGACATTTCATTTTATTATATGAAATTTAATGAAAAAAAAATAGACATTTTAAAATTTTTCTCCAAAATTAATTTGTCGAAATTTAAAACAAACATAATTTTATACATAATTTCATTTTTATACTTTAATATTAAAATTTTTAGAGAACATGCGTATATTTTTTTTCCGTATTTGCGCGCTTCATTCTCAGTCTCAGGATCGTATCAAATTTCAAGATAAAATCAATAAGAACTTCTAATACTTCTATAATTGACAAAATTGTTTGAGAAAAAGAAATTAAGTTTCTTATTTTCTGTAATATGTAATTCATATTTATTTTGAAACAATTTTAACTGAATAGATATGGAAAAAAACGATGAAATTTTGTTGGCAAATTTATTTGAGAATTTTAAGTTTGATACACTACTGGTGAGATGCCCCCCACTTTGTTGAATTTTGTATTCATGAAAGCTGTGCGCCATATCGTTCTAAACAAAACCTGACAATTTGACGTAAATTTTTCAAGGAATAATTGACTATTTTGTTGTAAAAAAGTTTACAAGAGAAGAAATTTTGATTTTATATGTGGATTATCAATTTTTTTTGAAATGTGAAATGATTTTTGTATTAAACGAGGTATGTGAAAATGAATTTACTATAAATCCTTAAAGTCGAGAATGGCTGACGTGTTATGCTGTCAAGCGACTTTCGACCTATTTGTATAGAACGAATTCTAAATTTCTTTCTATACATACAATATTTATATTATACATAAATTTTTTTGAAATAATTTTTAATTTTTCTCTTAATTCAAATTTTATTTCTATTGAATTTAATAACAATAAATTAATTGAAATTATTATATAAGATATTTTATTAAGATTCTAAAAATATTTGTTTCAGTTCAATGAAAAATTAAAATTTATTCATTGAACCGTCTTCAAACGTTGAGTTTATAATTTGGATATTAAATATTGGATTTGGATATAAAAAAAACAACAACAATGGCTTCACTTAAAGTAGAACCTTCAACATTGTTAAACGTTATGTTGACAATAGAAAAAAAAGAAGATGAAATTATTTTCGAGCAGGATAACATTGAAGATAATGTAAATGATAATACGGAAGATAACATTGAAGATCAGGCCGAAGATAATGCTAAAATACTTACTGAAACTAAAGTAAATATTCATAATCTTACAATATAGGGATTTTATATTTAACTATTAGAAATTTTCTATTTTTGAAATTAATTATTTCATTTCATTAATTATTTTGTTATGCGAGCATTAAATTTTGTAATTTAATTTTTAAAATTCAAATAAAAATATTTGTTTATTTAAATTTAAAAATCAAAGAGTCTTTCAATTAAAAATTTTTTTCTTCATAATTGTAAAAATAAATAGTGATTAATTTTGTTTTGCAGATAAAGAATAAAAAAACGCCGACAAAAAGAAAGAAACCAAAAAATACATTAAAAAATGTAAAAAAATCGAAGGCAATCGAGGAATCTGATTACGATCCAACAAAATTAGAAGATAGTTCTGATCAAGTTTTAAATCGTTTTAAACGTGGCTGTGAATGTCAAGATGAAAGTTGTTTCAAAGGTTTAAATTCTGAATCAGTTTATCGTCACAGATTAAATATTGCAGAACTGACAAAAGCAGAACATGACATGTATTTAATGGGAGTAACAATGGCTTGTCTCACAAATCCTTATGAAACAGCAAGACATACAGAGAGACGAAGACTTCGTGCTCAATATGTATATCAAGGTCGAAAAGTTTGTTTAGATGCATTTCTCTATTTAGAAAATTGCACTCATTATCAAATAAAAAGAATTAGAAAACATTTAATGATACATGGTGTGACACCGAGAGTTCATGGGAATTATGGAAAAGTTCCTCACAATACTTTCTCCTTGGATATTTATAAAAATGCCACAGCATTTTTAAAAGACTTTGTCAAGAAACAAGAGGAATTACAAAAAACAAAAATTGCCAAAAATTCACCTCTACATCTTTCTGCTGATATAACACGTAAGGCTGTTCACGATTTGTACAAGGAATATTGTAATAATATGTCACCAAGTATAAAAGCACTTGGTTATTCAACTTTTCGAAGATTTATGAATGAACAATTTTCGCAAATAAAATTTGCCAAACAAGAATTTGTGATTAGAGTGCAAGCTACTGGAAAAAATGAATCAGAAAAAAATGATGTTAACAATCATCAATTAACATCAAGTAGTGAACAAGTTAATGTGGGAAATGAAAATTTAATGCAACTTGTCATGGCTAGCGAGGCGGTTAATAAAGATAATACATATATTCTGCATCAGTTGTAGAATAAAGAAAAAAAAAAAAAGAGACACAAGACTCTCGATTAAATATTAAATCAACGGGCACAATTTCCATAAATATTGTACTATGAGGAAATTATTCACGAAATAAAGAGACGCAAGAGAACTAGGAAAGAAAATACAAATATTTCTATCGACAAAAAAAAGAGATTTCAAAAATATTTTCCAAATTTAATTTGTTTGTATTAAACAAATTAGATATCGATTTATAGCAGATGTTAATTATTTTATAAACATTACACTTTTTTTCACTGTCTTTAACGAAATGTTGAACAAGAATTTTTATTTTTATTATAATTTTTTTTTTTTAATTAATCCTTCATTAGAAAATTTAAAAACATTGGTGACGTTCACAATGTTTATAATCAATGATTGAAACGAAAAAAAAAAAAAAAAATTTAAGTGAAAAATTATAATAATTTGCATAAAAAAATATCTTTTCTTCTAAATCGTTGATCATAAAATATTGTGAATTTCACCGAAGTATTTAAAAATCATTTTTATTTAAATTTCGACTTAAAAAAAAAAAGAAAAACAAAAATCTCATTACAATGAGAATGTAAAAATTTAATAATTGAATTTATTTTTATCAATTGATATACTAGTCTTATTTTTATAACGAAAATAATAAATATTTAGTTGTCAAAAAATGTACATGTAAAATGTATTAATAAACTATGAAATTTATTTGATATTCTCTCTTGTGAAACTTTAATGCTTCATGTACGTTTGTGTAGAGATAGAAAATACCTTTAAAAAGAAACAGCTTTGTATGAGAAGGGGAAATATTAATTTATTAATGTTAAACAGTCAGAGACATACCATGCGATACGCAAAATGAAAAATAATTCAATTTCCTTTTAAGAAAAGAGGCATTGACCTTCTGTTTCCTTTCTGCCCTTAAACGTGAACAGTGAGTATGTGATATCACATTAAGTTCTCTCATTGTTAGCTTAGTTCATTTGCATTTTTAAGTAAAAAGAATTTATACGTGCGAGGGAAGGCCAGACACTTAATTGAAGAGTTGAAAGGTTGTAGGCATCTTTTTCTCTTGAAATATACAGTCTTAGTAACCCTCTTTGGTAAATTAATGTCAGTGTTTCCCAACTCAATTCAAATAAAATAAATATAATTATTATTAAAAAGAGAAATTTGCAATTTGTGTGCATTTTTATAAGAATGCATAAAATATAATAAAAACAATTTCAATGCAATTAGAAAGGACATAAATTTTAAAATTCAATTTTTCACTTTATTTTATACTATAAGAAATATTAATACTGCCCTACAATGGAAAAACATACTTAAGTGACGAAAAATCTCCCCCCCCTTCTGGTTTTAATATGTAATTATACATTTTAATGCAATCTCTACGATTTTTTCACAAACAAAAAATTAAATAGCAAAAAAAATTTTGAATTTTTGAAATAAGAAAAAAAAATCAGCGAATATTTATGGAAATTTTTGTATCCGATTTTAAAGATATTAATGACTACAATAAGTCTACTACCAACTTTTATTGAAGTTCGTTGTATCGTTTTTGAGATAATTTTTTGACAAGAAAATATAATAAAAACATATATTTGGACAATTATTTCTCATGGCGAAATGTGTAAATCGCAGTTAAAAATTTATTATATAAAGAATTATTTTTAAAAATTCGAAACTTGTGAGGATTACAATAATACTTTTTTTAAGGAAGCAAAAACAAATGAAAAATATATGCTTCTTTATTAAAAGTATAGAATAAAAATGGAAAATTAATTTTAAATCAATTTGAAAATTAATTAATTTTATTCAATTAAACAACTTTTATTTTGGGAAAATAAAAAAAAAATAATTACAAAAAATCTGTTTAAGGGGCCGAAACACTTTTTATATTATATAATTACACAAAGAGAGAAACATTTTGTGCGCTAGCGCGCGTAAACATTGTCTTGCACTGTTATTTCTCTCGTCAATTTAAATACGCAGTTTTAATTTAAGAAATTTCCAATTTTTAAAAAATAATTATAATTACATAACTGCAGCAATAATTAAAATTAAATTAATTTTAAAAAATGTTGATATTTTATAAGAATAATTGTCATTTTAAACTTCGTGAAAAATAAATATATTATAATTGATACTATAATATTATTATCTCTAAAAGTATTATACATTCAAAAACAATTATTATTAAACTTTTTTTCTTAATGAACATAATTTTATAAACCTAATATTTATGTTTAATAAAAAATCATATAAATATTAGTTTTTTTGCTCAGAAACCACTATTTAAATATAAGAATGTTTGTATTATTATTTTTGTAAGTAAAATTTAAATTAAATTAAATCAGTTAGTTGTAATTATATTAATTTTAGGAGACAACAGATTTTTTATAAAAAAAAATAATAGTAAGATAAATAAAAAGTTATAATAATTTCATACATTTAAAAATGTATAATTTTTTGTATAATTTTGCTTACAAAATTGTAAGCCCGTATATTGTATTTAAATAAATAAATATAAAATATTATGTACATTTGTAGAATTATTTAACGAAGTATTCTTTTTATTACTTTAAAATCAAAAAAAAAAATTTAATTTATAGTTTCAATTATTTAAGAATATGTTTAAGAATTTCCACCAAGATTACAATTAAACAAAAAATATTTTTCAAAATGTCTCAAAAATGTTAAAAAGCAAACAGAAATTTGGTACAAAAAAAGGAATCTTACGATTATAAATTATTATTATTATATTTTATATAAATAATTAAAAATTAATTAATTAAAATTAAATTTTTTTATTTAACAACTTCAAAAAAAGTGAATATATAATTATGCATAAATTATATTAAATTTAATTGATTGATTTACGATCTATACGACGAATTAAAAAGAATTTTTTAAATTTAAATATTTTTCAAGTATACAGACTTTATAATAGACAATTTTTATAAGACACGTTACAAGTACATTATATTTTTATGATTATAGAATAATGTTAAAATCATGACAAATTTGAAATATGCAATTTTGTGGTATTTTATGCGGAAATAAATAAGATTGAGAGCCTCTCACTTTACAGTTATATCAGCGCGATATCGTGGGTAAAACAGAGAACTGTTTCTGATGGATCAGAATCAGCAAGGTCACCTGAGTGCAAGCACTCAGATCAAGCACTGCAGTCTATTACATACAAGTGTTCAAAAACCCCGTCGAGTGCCGAGTGGTTACTCCAGGTATATATATATAACTGTGAAGTGAAAAGCGCTGAAATCAAACCTATAATTTGCATAGTTACAATTTATTTTCCTTGGTCTTTTTCTTTCACATATTAACCCAGTGAAATAAAATTATTTTAAATATATATCAACTTTAAAAAAAAAAACAATTAAATCAACGTTAAAGGATGTGTGAGAAAAATTTTAAATCCGTAAAACTATATCTTCTAAAAAAAATATTTAAAACTGACATCATAAAAAAATTTGTTATTATTAAAAATAAAATAATAATAATAATGATAATATATAAATTATTTATTTACTAAATTATATTATTATATACTATTTATATAATTTTATTTATGATATTATTTTCTTATAATGCAATAGAAACGTATTTTTATACAATTTTCACGAAGCTGAAGTACGTAACGTTTATGATAAACGATTTTTAATAGAAATAATTTTTTAAAATGAAAAATTCTATAATTTTTTGCCTAAAAAATATTTTTTATATTTTGTTGATTAATGAAAACTACAAGAAATATTTTTTAGGCAAAAAATTATAAAAATTTTCTATTTAAAAAATTATTTCTTTAAGAATCGTTTATAATTCACCTTCGTCAATTTTTCCGAATTAAAAACCAAAATCAAATTTCGATTGTTATTGAGAAAATAATTTTTATTAAAAAAAAAAAAAAAAATTTACCTCAGTATAAATCACATTCTATAATAGCTATAATTTTTTTTGAGTTACCTATATAAGTATTTAAATATTCCAGTAAATATTTTACTTGTTTCAGGTGCATATTTTATATTTTATAAAAAAAATATAAATGAACTAATAATAGTCTTATTTTTGTAAAATTTATCTATTCATTTTTCAAACTGTCACTGGGTATTGAATAAATTGTTTTTAAATTTAACATTTTTTGCAGAAGATGTTGAGAGTATGACCGGTGAGATAGAAAATGGGGATCTAGCTGTTAGAGACGTTGCAGACATCCTCCAACCGCAATATGCTATCATTACTGGTAAGTTAATATTCCTGATATAAAAAGACTAATTTAAATAATGCATTTCGATTCACGCGAAATGAAAAACGATATCATCTTTATTTAAAAAAAAAAATTGTTTAATTATTGATGAATTTATAATTCAGTATAAGATTAAAAAAAAAGTATTCTAATAATTAACAAAAAGTTAGAAGTATTGAATTTTTTAATTATAAACAATATTAGAAAAAAATTTATAAACGAAAGGAACACATTTGTAACTTGTTTTATTTGACCTTCACATCTTATCTCAATAATTATATTTCAAAGTTATTTATGCAATAATTATTATTATCGCATCCTATTTTCATTTTTTAGTATTTTATAATGTCCACTCATCAGTTCTGACGTTTTTTAGAGAAAAAAATATATAAATAAAAATATGAATATAAAAGAGACTATAACAAATAAAATATTTATATATTTTTTCTATATATTCACTTCTTGACACACGGTTTAAAAAAAAAATGATAATAATTTAGAGAAAAATGTCTCTTCACAAAATAAATGTTTTATTTTACTTTCTTTTGAAAAAATAATCAACAATTTATATTTATATGTAAATACCTAAAAAAAAAAAACACTAACATTAGTATCAAAAAGTTGTGAAAATGTTTTTTTTTTAATTTTCAAAATTTTTTAAAAAACACTAAAAATTAAAATTTTTATAAATTCTTTTAGTAATATTCTTTAAAATGTAAAAAATTAAAAATGTTTTTCAATTAATTTTATGTTAATGATTTTTTTTTTACATTACAGGTGGCAAAACGAGAGAGGGATGTCCATTAGTCACGTTTCCCGATCATGGCAATTTTCACAATCTCTCAGACTTGGACTATCAACGTCTCATGCTATATCTCACATCAGTACCAACGTAAGCAAAATTTCACCAAACCATAAAATTATTAATATCTAATTTCACATATTTTCACGAGAGAACTTTTACCATTTTTAGTTTACAAGAGGCTGATTTAGGATTTCATCTGATAATCGATCGTAGAAACGACAAATGGAATTCTGTAAAAACGGTCCTTTTAAAAATTTCCGTAAGTCTAAAAATTTTTTTTTTTGACAAATATTGTATATTTAAAAGCCTTTTAATTAAAGAAGAAACTTTTTTTCGGTGATGAATTACCTACCATAACGAGAAAATAAACACTTATTAATTATATTAATTATTAAAAAATAAATAATATTTATCACATTAATGATTATTGAATTCTTAGGCATTCTTTCCTGGATTAGTGCATGTCGCTTATGTTTTGCGACCAGCGGGTTTTCTTCAAAAAGCAATTTCAGAAGTATCGAATAAATTATTTCGAGAAGATTTTAAATTTCGAGTAATAGTTTTGGCCAATATCGTTGAACTTTATGACTTTGTGGATAAAGATCAATTAACAGAAGAACTTGGAGGCGATTTACCCTATTGTCATCACACATGGATTCAAAATCGAATTGTAAGTTTAGTGACATTATTGAATATATTTTCGAAATATTTCAACGATAATTAATATTTTTTTTTTCTCTCTCTGAAGAATTTAGAGAAATTTTCCTCAATGACACAAGATGTCTCTTTGGCACTTGATTCATTCACTCGTCGATTGGCTGAAATTGAATTTCCCAACAATACAATTGCAACTACTACATTATTAAATCAACAACAAATAGAATATAATGAATTAAAGGAAGAAATTGTAGCGGCTGCACGACATGGAGAAGCATTACTCGATAGTATTCGTCAACTAACTGGAAAAGGAACCGTTGATCGATTAGGAAATGTAGCTGCGATTGAGAGGTTCAAAAAATAAATAAATTAAAACTAAAAATTATAATAACAATATTTAAAAAAAGTACAGATTAATTCATAGTTTAAAATTTCAAATAAATAGGTTATTGGTACAGTTGGAAGAAACTGAAAGGACTTTTGACTTATTTTGGTCTCATCACAGCTCGCGTTTAAGGCACTGTTTAGCTCTTCGACAATTTGAACAAGATTTTAGAGAATTGCAAGCGAATTTGGATCAACATTTAAAAACCATTGAGGAAATGACGGAGGTTGGAGAAACTCAAGCAAGAGTTGATCAATTACTGCGAGATACTTCCGCTTTTCAAAGAATATGCAGGGTAAGAGGAATCAAATTATTTTGAACAGAAAAAAAATCATTACACAATTTCAAACACTTCACATCATATTAAAAAAAAAACCAATATTATTCCGGAATATCATGGCATATTATCAAGTTAAAAAAACAAATAAAAATTAAAAATTTATTCGAGAAAAATCATTTTTAATTGAACTTTCAAAAAAAAAAAAAAAACAACAACAAAAATGAGCAGCAAAAGCACTAGTTTATTAATAATCACGCACATAATATGGATTGCAAAGTATCTTACTCAAACCAAATGTACAGACAAATTTATTACTATTTTGAAAATTATTACATTTAAAATTATATAAAATTTTCAAAATTATTCATTTAAATCTCATTGTTTTTGAATTTAAATCCGTTTACAAATTTAGAAAAAAAAGTTAAATATCTAAATAAAACTTTAAAAAATTTTTTTTTATAGAATCATTTTAAAGCCTTTAAAAATAATTTTGTCTTAAAGAAAAATGGTGATGAAGTGGTCAACGATTTAAAAAAATTGTAAAATTTTTTGTCTAAAAAAAATATTCTTCAAAACTTTTTTTTGATCATTGTTGTAAAAACAAAGGTTCAGGCAAAAATGCATAAAAATTTTCATCTAAAAAAATATTTTCTTTTAAAATATTTGATCATTAATTTTATGAATTTCTTCATCATCATGGAAAAAAATAATTAAAAAAAAAAAAAAATTGTTTGGTTTGAGCAATTGAATTTTATAAGCACACAATGCACAATAAGCACAGACGTTACTTTGCACCGCTTTCCTCATTTTGTCGATAGTCCTATTTGTTGCATACCATGTGGATTTGGGTCTTGGTAAGCAATCCACTCAAGGAAATTAATATATTTAATTATAGTCATGGTGTTCAGCGGTAAGGTATAATAAAAATTGTAGTGACATAGATGGAATGTAATTTCGATTAGTTTGCAAGTAAAATTTTAACTGATATCTAGTTTTTCTCTTTAATATTTATTTTAATTTTTCTTTTCTATAATAACTTATTTTAATTAATAAGTACAATCAATCTAATTAATTAAAGAATAATAAATAGTTTTGTGAAAAAAGTGTTTGAAAATTCATTAAATTATTTTTGCTAAAAAACTAGTTATTATAATTTTCATAAATATGTTAAAAAATATTGGAAACCATAAATCGCTGAACATCATTGTTCAAATCTTAAATTTATCAAATATCTTCGAAAACTGTGTTGCGTCATGTTTCTAAAAATTATAAATTTTTGTTTTATATCGATTTAAATCTCTATTCGCGTTGTATCGCTTTATTTTGAAATTCACTCATTTTGTCATTTAAATATTATTAAATCATTTATGCCGAGCAATTCGATCATTCCTCTAATCATTAATATTATTACATCGAATCATAATTATTATTCCAATCTAATCATTGATCAACTAAATAACTTTTTGATAAAACTTGTAAATCAAATTTCAAAAATCATGATCGTGAGAAAAAAAGAATATAAATCCAAAATTTAATTATTTTAAATAGGGATTTAATTCGTATATTTAATATTCGGCATGATATTTATGTGAATGGACGTAATTTTTATTTCGCTCTATAAACTGTGCACGAAGAAATATAGAATATTTTTAAAAATCTACTTTTCATTGTAATAAGATTGATTCAATAATTTTAATAATATACTTATCAAGCAAGAGGCAAAAAAAAAAAAAAAAAAAAAAAAAAGTTGTGCATTGATTGAAGTAAAGTAAATATTTTTATACTTTCTAGTAGCTTTTTTTTATTTATTCTTGTAAATTAATAATCCAATGAGAACATTTTTTTTTTAAAATGCACAATTGTGCATTTATAGGGAGACATAGATCGAGCAGAAGAAGTTATCACAGCTGGTCAACAATTACTATCTGGAAGACATCAATGCCCTGCAGAAGTTGTCGAACCAAAATGTGCAGAACTTCAAAGAGTATGCACTATTTTGAGTCAAAGACTCGAAAGGCGACTCGTCACATTAACAAAATGTCGAGAACTTATGGAAAGAATCGATAAGGTAATAATAAAAAAGGAAAACCAATACAAATCTCCTTTATATAAAATTAATCGTCAACATAAATTAATTTTTTTCTATACTTTAACAGAGTGTCTACTAATAGAGAAATAGGCGTGAATTTTAATGACCAGAATATACTTGAAATTCGCCAGAAATTTTTAGTAAAACCGGGAATTTTATTATTCCATAAACATTTCTTTCACTTTTTTCTTTTCTACAATATTCTATTTTCTACAATTTTCGATTTTTTTTATATTAACGAAAATTTTCCTTTTTTTAAAACGATTTTTTCCATCACATTCTCTTTTTTTGGAATTCTAAAAATTTATTATTTTTCTTTTACAAATTAACCAATAATTTTCATTTTTTTTTAAATTTTAAATATAATTTATTTCTCTGTTATATTTTAATAATAAAAATGATAATATCGATCACTACGAATCAAGTAGAAAATAAAAAAATCACAATCACGCCGAGTTAAGTAAAAAATAAAAAATTCACAATTCTTTACGTTTCAATGGCCGTGCTATTGAATTTTTTATTTTTTTGCTTAACTCAGTGTAATCGATATTATCATTTTCATTAGTTATTTAAAAATGTTAAGCAAAAATATTACCGTATCTTGTACATTTTTTCACATGTAGAAAACTTGTCAGTTTTTTTTAAATTAAATAAATAATTAGTTACATTTGTAACAAGTCTTAAATAAAAATATTAGAAAAAACAAATTCCAAATATTCGAAGCAAAAACCGACAAATAACCGTAAATTTAATTCACCGAAAATACACTGGAAAAAATTTACTTGATTATTAACAAATAAATATTTGTTTCTATCAAATAATTATTGAGTCAATTAAACGGTATTTGTTTCAAAAATAGAAATTATAGGTTCAAATACAGTTTATTTAATTCAAATAAAAATTATTTGCTTCAAGTAAATATTTATTTTTTAGCCGTCAAGTAACCGATTATTTGAATGGAATACATTTTTTTTCAGTGTAATTAACACCCTGGCTTAATATTAAGAATTTGTTATGAATAAAAATAATAATAATTGTATTTAATTGTATAAATTATTATTTTATTAATTATATTCTAGGCGAACACTTGGTGTACTAAAGGAATAGAATTGTTAGCAGCTCAAAATAGTTCAACACCGGCAGATCAAGCTCTTCAAGAACTTCAACAATTAATAGAAGCGGCGGAAGAATTTCACCACCCACGATGTATTTTTCAGGATTCAATTATGCCAGAAACTAAAGCTCTTGTCACTCAGGTAATTCATTAGAATGAATAAATCATAACCTATGCAATTAAAATAGAATTTCTTTCTTTTTTTTTATTAAATCAATATATTCTAATTGAATTATACGTCTGTGAAATTTACATTTATGATCAACGATTTAGAAGAAAAATATTTTTCTATGTAAATTACATATTATAATTTTTTTTTCTAAACAAATTTTTAAAATATTTCTCGATCAAAAATTATTTTTTAAAAGAAAATAAATTTGTAGGCAAAAATTTTTATGAAAATAATTTTTTTTCAATCATTGATTAAATAAACTACAATAATTCGAAAATGAGTATAAATTAGAGAATCTCTTTTTAATAGGTTTTACAAAGAATAGAAGATGTATCAATGATGTGCGATAAAAGGATAATGGCATTGAAACAACAATTAATGAAGCCAGCGAGACCAGTTCAAACTGTAACACCAGAACCAGCAAAACCCATTCAACCAGCACCACAAATCATCAAACCAGGAAGAATTTTGAAGAAAGCTAATACAATGCCAAAAGTAATTATATATATATATATCATTCATTAAAATAATATAAATATAATTTAACATATAACACAAATAATCAACTTTTTTCAAGATGGAAATGTGTCCAATCGAAGGCGAATCTTCATCTCCAGAAAGTGAACCTCGAGATATTGAAGTTTTAAAACAAAAACGAGGGCACGTTTTAGCAGAACTTTTAGAAACAGAACGAATTTATGTAGCGGAACTTGGTTCTATTATTAAAGGTTACAAAATGGAATTGACAAACGAAGCAATGATTCATTTAGTTCCTGCTCCATTATTTGGCAAAGCTGATGTTCTTTTTGGAAATTTAGAAGAAATTTGCATTTTTCATGGAGAAACATTTTTGCGTGATTTAGAAAATTGTATTTCAAATACAGAACTTGTAGCTTTATGCTTTGTACAAAGGGTAAATATATAAAATTTTTAGTATTTAATTTATTTTACAAAAACGAAATAACAAATAATTTTTTTTTTTTTTTTATTATTACAGCGAGAGGTTTTCTTCAGGCTGTATAGTTATTATTGTCAAAATATTCCAAGATCAGAGAGATTGCGTGAACAAATTCAAAATGAACCACAATTTCTTGTGACTTGTCAACAAAAATTAGGTCATAAATTGCCTTTGGCTGCTTATCTTTTAAAGCCAGTGCAACGAATTACAAAGTACCAACTTTTGTTAAAAGATCTCTTAAAATATAGCGATGAACAATCATGTTGCACAGAATTGCAAGAGGCATTGGATTGTATGCTTATTGTATTAAAATGTGTTAATGACAGTATGCATCAAACTGCAATTACTGGATTTGGGGTTTGTGTAATTTTTATTAAAATAACAACAAGAATGATATCAATCACTCCGAGTTAGAATTTCATTTTGTTTTTTGATTTTTCAGGGAGATTTAAGTGCACAAGGAGAATTATTATTACAAGGTTCATTTAGTGTTTGGACTAGTAGTAAAAGAGAACGATTACTAAGATTAAAACCATCTCAACGGCACATTTTTTTGTATGAAAAAGCTATTATATTTTGTAAACACAGCAAACCTCAAGCACACGACAAAGCGACCTATCATTTTAAAAGATATTTAAAAGTAAATATATACTTTATCTTTTTAATTAGAAAGAAATTCAATTTTATCAATTTTTAAAATCTGCATTGTTTTTTTTTTATTTTCATCAAAATATAAATTAATGAGAAAAATTCTCCGTTTAAAGATGTCCCAGATTGGCTTGACGGAATCAGTGAAAGGTGATGCAAGAAGATTCGAAATTTGGTTACAAGGACGTGCTGAGGTACACACAATTCAAGCACCGAGTATTGATGCAAAACAATCTTGGGTACGACAAATTAAAGGAGTTTTAATGTCACAATTAGCGGAACTTAAAGGAAAACAAAGTTCAGCGCTTGGAAAAACAAATCATAAGTATGTCTATAGAAATTAAAATTTGATTTTCAATATTTTCTGAATTATTGATTTTTAGTAGTGTGTTTGAATTTAATCTAATTTTTTTTTTTAGACCACTTCGACAAACAATTTCGTGGGATGCTCAAAGTAATCTTTCTGGTTCTCTACGTACACTATCTGTTGATGGAAACAGTGTTATTTCTCATATTTCCGATGTTTCACAATCAACGGAAGAAGATGTGGGATGGAGCTCGGAAAATAGTAATACCGACGATGAAGATACATTTAGTGAAAATCCTGGACCCGCACAGGTGAGTCTCGTATTTCTTTTAAATTTGAAATTAATTTTTTTCATAGACACAATTCTTTCTTTTGGAAAAGTAACAAGTTCCTACTACGGAAAAGTAAGCAGTAAGTTCTTACTTTCGAAATTACATCAGTACAGGCAGGGCTCGGAGTGTACGACTTTTTCGACTACTTTTTTTTTTTTTTTAATGCATCTTATTTTGACTTTATTTATAGTACTAATAAAAATCGCCTCTTTTCAAATTTATTTAAAATTAACATGAAATAACAAAAATCGTTATCCATGAAGTATTTTAATATGGCATTTGACTCAACATTATTTCTTCTGTTTAAAATTGGACAAGTACTTTAAAAAATTAAAATAAAATAAAAAATATTTTAATTTAATTTCAAAAATTTTTCCGAAAATCTAAATTGGAATAATTTTTATGAATCAGACTTGAAAAAGTGTTAAAAGAAAAAAGGAACTGTAAAATTTGTTTAAATATATCTTTTTTACTGAATTCAAGCTAAAAATTTTGTCTAAGAATTATGAAATTAATTAATTTATGTATGATATGTATAATAGTTACCGTTGGTGATAAATTTTTAATAATAATAAAATATTTATAAACTAATTCAATTGATTAAAAATTAAGAATATTTTTTTTGCGACTTTTGTTTATAATGTAATATGACATTTTTTTTTGTTTTTGCTGCTTAAAGTCGATCCGAGGCCTGTACAAGGTAGAATTTTCACAAGCATATTTAATTTTTTAGTCTAAAATTATTTGAATTTATTAAAATTTTATTAACTTCAATGAATTGGATAAAATTCAATAACCAATTGAAAAATTTATAATTAATTCAATTTTTGAGTTTTTTCTTTGGTTTTTTTCAATTTTTGCTTTACGACTTATAGAGTCGTATATTAAATTTAGACATACTTTTGACCATCAGTCTTTAAAAATGACAATTAGTATAAAATGTATCAAGTATTTTTTTTTTTTTTTTTTTTTGAAGAACTGTAAAAATAAAAACTTACGTAATTTTTCAGGGTGGAAGATACGTTGCTCTGGCTGATTATTGTGCAGTTGGTCAATCGGAAGTAACGATGCGCGAAGGTGATCACTTAGAATTGTTAAAGGTTGGCTGTGCAGGCTGGTGGTTCGTTAAATTAATTGGATCCGGAATTGAAGGTTGGGCACCCGCAGCATACTTGGAACCAATCAGTCGAAAAACGTCTCGTAGTTCACAATCTGTAAATAGTCAAGATCCCATATGAAACAGGCGACTAACACACTAGGTTTATCCTCGTGTGTTAGATAAACTCTATAAATATTAATGCAATCAATCTAAAAAAAAAATTTCAAATTTCATATAAATTTCGATACGAATTTCAGAAAAATAAAATTTTCTAAAAGATCATGAAAGCGAATGAACGAAATTTAGAAATGAAAGAAATAGAGAAAAAGATCAGTGTTTTCAAACAGATCTAATGGACAATTTAAAAATTTCATTGCAAACATTAAATTTTTTAATGATGTTTAAAAAATGAAATATGGAAAAAAATATACAATTTTAATAGATTTAAAGAAAACAAAAACATTGAATCGGCATGAAAAAAAAAGAAAACAGGGATTAATTAAATGTCAAAAGAAAAGATGTCATACAACTGCCATATTGATGTACAATGGAAGTTTGCAAATGTCGATTTTTTTTTCTAGATATTTATATTGGTAAGAATTAAAGATCAGTTTTGATGGCCCAACCGATTTTATCGGATTTACAGAACTTTTCACAATGATATCGTATCCGAAACACGGATAAATAAGTGATTAAAATAACTGAATAGTTGTTTAAGTAGTTAAATGCAAATAAATAGTTTTTTTCCTTGAAAGTGGAATAATTTTTTAAAGCATAAAATGCTCGCATTTAATGTTATATATATATAGTCACAAAGTGAAACGAGCATGCCCAATTGAGCAATTTTTTGTTTCAAGTAAAACACTTTTACCTGAACCATACCAAATATTTGGCACTTATTTGTATATATAGTTAAACTTAAAAAGCACCCAGTGCATGGGAGTTTTATTACAATGTTAAGAAGAACAAAAAAAAAAAAAGAAAAAAAAAAAGAGAAACAACAATTTTCTGAGTACCAAATCTACTAGTGCCGGTATCCATAGGTCATGAAGACCATAAGTTGCTAGAATTTTGTTAAATATTAAGAAATCTATCACGGAACATAATATTGATTAGTACCGAGATATGTGCAATAATTTTAGAGAATATTGAAATATCAAAAGAAAAAACAAAAAAAAAGAACTTGTACTTAGGACCAACTTGAATTGAAGCAAAAGATGCAAAAGTATGTGATATATTTAATGGTGAGAAAAATATTTAAGAATGATGATAATTTGGACAAGATTACTTTTGCAGATTTTGTTAAATTCAAGTAAAAATAATATTCCATTTTATACTTGATCGTATTGACACTAGAAGGATAGTAATGTACTATTTTATTATTATTCTAAACATTTTAAAATGTTTTTAATTTCTTTTAGATTTTTCAAAGTTTTGAAAGTTATAAAAAAAATTTACAAATTTAAGTTTCCTAAACTTTAAAATCCTTTAGTTAAACTAACTAATTTCCCTTTATATGATTAATTTTTACCGTAAACATAGCAAGCATTATTATTAATGCACTAAAAAATTATTTAGCTGAAGAAACGCGTTATTAGTTTACTAACATTCGAGTAGCTGTTTTTTTTCTTCTTTTTTAAATAAAATTCGTTTTTCTTAGCATTTTATGAAATTTTAGTTAATAATTTACATTTTTCAATTATTTTACTAACTCAAAAATCTGTCTTGCCAAAAAATTTTTTACATCTTATAACTTTTTTAAAAAAAATTTTTTTTTTTTCAATTTCGTAAATAATTTTCAAATTGATTGATTCTAAATAAAAAATAGAATTAAAAAGAAATTTTAATTTCCTGAATTACTACTTGCGTGAAAAAAGCTGATGTAAAGTGATAACATTTTTTAAAAACTCTAATATTTAAATTATCGCCCATTTTTACACCGTCCTCTTACAAAAAGGCCTCATCTATTCGAGCTTTCGATATTAATCGTTCTCTTTTTTTCTTTTAAGAATAAACTATCTTTCCATTTATACGTAAAGGATAATTAATTTTGTGATTTATTATTTATATATACGTACTGCTTCGAAATTATATATTTTGAGAGTTTAATTTATAAATATTTTACAGAATTATTGCATGATTTTATATGTGTAAGAATTTTTTTTATATAAATCTAAAATATTTTTCAAACTTAATTTAAAAATTACGTGAATCTGTTACTGTTTTAAATTTGTTAAGAATATCATTTAGGATCTATTTTTATAAAGAATTTCATATATCATGTTTTTTATTTATAATACTAGATAATTTTTTTTATTAGCAATTATGTTATAAGTATAGACAAATTGTGAATTTAGAAGAGAATTACTTTTATTGGTAAAAATAAAAATATATTTGTTTTTTAAATTCAAGGGGAATTTAATTCTGTAATATTGTTCAAAGACAGACTATAGAAAGGAATACACATTCATATAGACAATAATATTGTCCATTTTGAAGATTAATATTCATATATAATCATCTTTTTCAATAAGAATTTGCTAATAACAATTGTACCGAAACCGTCATTCATCTTCCCTCAAAAAGATTAGGCAAATAGAAGGTGTTTTCTGCTAATAGACATGTAAAAAAAAAAATTAAAAAATTGTTAATCCAGTATAGAGTCACTTTATCTCTCGAAAAAAATGCTAAGTAATTCATTTGTAAAAGAATAATATTTATTCTAAGAATTCACAATCTTATAATAATAACGGTTCCTTGATCGTTCCTTGAAGAAAAGAAAAATTTAGAATCTATTTTTACATAAATAATAATATGATAATAATAATTATACATATATACGCCGAAATCGCTTCTATTTGCAAATTGTGATTAATTTTGAAAATTTAGTGGGCACCTGTATCACTATCTCTCAAAACTATATATATATATAAAAAAATCATTTATACGTTTTGAAAAAATTTTAAGAGTCTTTGGAATAAAATTCGATAAGCAAATATATTGCTCAATATTTAAAAACAAAAATTCTATTTTATCTTAATAAAAAAAAAAAAGAAAGATTTGTCAAAATTGAAATATTTCAAGACTTCTTATCACGCACCTTACGAACTGTTTCCCATCACACCCCATTCTATGCATATAGTTCTGAGTAGAATTAAAGCTGTAATTCCAATATTAGAATTGAAAATATAAAACTTAACAACACAACGATATAAGAATTTCTCTTAAGCTTAATCATTGTGTACGCTTAGAAATCTATATAAAAAAAAAGATTACAGGCTCCTTTTTTGACGAAATAATACACATTGTATTATATCTATTCTAAAATAGGAATTTAACATTTATAAACATAAAACCTAGTTGAACAATCATATCTAGGATTTTTTGAAGTTTTACAAAATTCCATAAAATCATTAAATTGATGTTAATTGACGAATATTTCAACGTTTATATAGTGCAGTGCAATAAACAAACTTTTTATTGAATTACAAATTGGAAATGTTTTTATAAAAACAACGCTTTAAATTGCTTTAATGCAATTTTTAAAAAAATTCTCATTACACGGAAAAAAAAAATTTATTTGATTCAAATAATCGGTTACTTAACTATTATCAAATAAATATTTACTTGAACCAAATAATTTTGGAATTAAATAAATAATAAACATGTATTTGTATCAATAATTTATATATTTGAAACAAATACCATTTAATTGACTCAAATAATAATTATATTTGATACAAATAAATATTTATTTGATAATAGTCAAGTAATCGATTATTTGAATCAAATAATTTTTTTTTCAGTGTTACTAACGAACGATGCTATTTATTTTAATAATTTCTTTTTTAATCAAAAAAGGTGAAGTTACATATATATATAATTCTTCACTCATTGCGCATAAGAGTTATGATAAAAAAGACAAATTGAAAAAAATAATAAAGGAAGAAAATAATTTTCCAATGTAGAATATATATATATAATTAATAAGAGGCCAGTACCGAATAATTTATTGAAAAATAGATCAAAGAAAACGTTTAGCTTTAAATGTCGCTATTATAGAAGCTGTTGCTGATATATATTATAAGGTATATACCCTGAACAATGTGACTGTTAGTTTTTAAACATTGCACATTTTATGAGGTTGAATTAATGAAAGATGCAAAAAGATGATTAGAAGACTTGAGAAATGTAATAGTGAACAAAAACAAAGATATTTTAACAAATTCTTGATGTCACAGGAAAAAAAAAGAAAATCAATAATTTGTTAAAATTTATAAATACCAGTTGAATGAAAAAAAAAATGGTTAAATGATATTTGTAAGTTGTGTCCAAGCACTTAGAAATATTTTATTATAGATACCCTAGTACAAAAACAAATTGATTTTTGATAGACTTATATGATTTATATATACAGGGCTATATTGATCTGTTTGTTATTTGTCTGTAAATAATAATAAACCCAGTCTGCTGCATTTTGTATGAAAAACGCTAAAATCTAATTTAAAACTTCATCAATCTTCATATTCATCATGACAATATAGAATAATAATAATAATAATAATAATAATAATAACTAATCCACGAACTTCATGAAAATATAAAAAAAATAAATTTTTCAGATGTCATTTTTTGAAAATTGGATTGTAATATAAAAATAATAATATTAAATTGTAATATTACAGAACAGAAGTATAAAAAAAAGAGCTTGGATAAATAATAATGTTTATTACAAAATGCATTGGATGCGGAAAAGTTTGGCAAATTTATAAAGAAAAATTCCATTCTCTTGTATAAGAAATTGTTATAATGAGCGAATTAACACAATGTAAATAAACAATTGCAGAAATGCCAAAAAAAAATTTTTTTTTTCAATTATTACTACTCTTCCTATATACTATATATATATATATATATAATGTATTCCACGCCAAAGTGTAAGTCCATCTGCAATTGCATCTCCGAAATTTTTGAGATTTTTTTTTCTTTTAGTACTAATTGAAACTAGCTTCCATGAATTTTTTCAAATTTTTTTAACAAGCCGTTTTCGAGTTATGGAATTTTTAAAATTGGAAATTTTCATGACTTTTAATTTTTGAATGCTCATAACTTCCTTAAAAATTCATCAATTTTAAAAGTCTTTTTTTCAAAATATTTGTTTTTAAACGTACTTTTCAACAAAAAAATCGAAATTATGTTTTCAAACGATATTACTGTCAAATTTTTGAGTTTTTTTACGAAACTTTTAAGCCTAGTCCGATAATGGGCAAACAATTTTTACAATATTTTTGGAATTTTTCAAAAATTTTTGAATTTTGAATTTTTTAAAAATATTTTTGGTTTTGTTTTATACTACGTACTTTTATGTATTTTGATTCCCTGACTACGAAAATCATAGTGACAATACCCAAAAATTTGATTTTTATGGTGAAAACCATAAAAAAAGTCTCAAAATTTATGGTTTTTTTCGTTTATTAGGGAAAATATTTTAATAAGATCTATAACTTTTGTTTGAACAAATTTTTTTAATTTTGCATATTTTACCAAAAAAAACAATAAATTTTGGGACTTTTTTATGGTTTTCACCATAAAAATCAAATTTTTTGGTATTGTCACTATAATTTTCGTAATCAGTGCATAAAAATACATAAAAGTACGTAGTATAAAACAAAACCAAAAATATTTTTAAAAAATTCCAAATTTTTTTGAAAAATTCCGAAAATATTGTAAAAATTGTTTACCCATTATCGGACTAGGCTTAAAAGTTTCGTAAAAAGAAGTAGTTCTTTTAAAAGAATTTTGAAAAAAAAATCGATCAGTACATCAAATGAGAAAAATGACTTTTTATCATTAAAACTCAAAAATTTGATAGTAATATCGTTTGAAAAAAAAATTTTGATTTTTTTGTTGAAAAGTACGTTTAAAAACAAATATTTTGAAAAAAAAGACTTATAAAATTGATGCATTTTTAAGGAAGTTATGAGCGTTCAAAAATTAAAACTCATGAAAATTCTCCAATTTTAAAAATTCCATAACTCGAAAACGGCTTGCTAAATAAAATTGAAAAAATTCATTGAAGCTAGTCTCAATTAGTACTAAAAGAAAAAAAAAATCTCAAAAAAATCGGAGATGCAATTGCAGATGGACTTACAGTTTGGCGTCACAAGTCTTTTGAGGATTTCAAATTAAGACCATAAAGTGTATCAAATTGTTGATAATGCAACGTTTTGATGCTGTTTATGGTCTCAATTTGAGAGCCTCAGAAAACTGTGGTGGAATACATCATATATATATATATTAAATTTAATATTGAAATAATAAACAATTAGTAATATTCTCTTTTATTACGTATGAAATATTCAGATTAAGAATTTTAAAAAATTCCTATTTAAAAAAATTTTAAATTACAAATTATTAATTTTTTGTTTTATTTTTATCCACTAAAAAATTATCTCTAAAATAGATAATTAAACATTTCTTAATGAAAGTTTGAAAAAAAAAAAAATTTAATTGATATTATTTTTTTCTTTTCGCAAAATATTCGGACTGATTCGGAAGTTTTCTGATTTACATTTCAAATAAGGTCAACACTTAATTCTGGGAATAAACTCTAGAGGGAGCAAAGATACAAATCATTTTGTGCCACGACCGACGACAAGCGTCCATTCATTATTGTTCATTTGTGTTCATTATAGCCAGCGTCTGTACAACTATTCTCCAGTGAGGCTGCTATAATTTCCTCTTTATAATTTTTAATTATAAAATTAATATTTATTTTTTTCCTTTAACAAAAAACAAACTATATACAATTATCAACGAAAATGGCTCCCAGTGCACAAGAAGTTCCAAAAGAAAAACTAGAAACTCCTCCTCGAGGAATAAATGCTGTGTTACTTGGTCCACCCGGCAGTGGTAAAGGCACTCAGGTAATTTATCACTTAATGTTTAAATGTACTTTGTACCCATATTAAAAAAAAAAAAAAAGAAATCAATTTCTAGCTAAATTTTTATATTATCATTGATGAAAATTATGTCAAGTATCGCACTCATTATTCAAAAGAAAAAAATAAGACTTTTTTTCTTTAATTGAGAAATGAAATACAGGAAAAAAAATGTTTAATATACCAGTTTTTATTAGCTAATTATGTAATAAGAATTGAAGTTTACAAATAGAATCATATTTACAGATACATGTGATAAATTTATTTAACAGTGTGTAAAAATTGTACCTTTAATATTGAAGTTTTAAAATACAAAATAAGTGAGTTAGAATTTTTCTAGACATTAATTGTCAATTATGAGAATATTTAATAAAAAAAAAAAAAAAATTGAATTGAATTGCAGGCTCCTATTTTGAAGGACAGGTATTGCGTTTGCCATTTATCAACAGGAGACATGTTGAGGGCGGAAATTAAATCGGGATCAGCAATTGGAAAAAAAGTCAAGACCATAATGGAAGAAGGAAAATTAGTGAGTGATGACCTTGTGGTTGATATGATTGATAAGACACTGGATACACCTGAATGTAAACGTGGTTTTCTCTTAGATGGTTTTCCAAGAACTGTACCTCAAGCAGAAAAGGTAAAAATGAAGGACTAATCTATTTTCCATATCTCTATAGACTATATACTGAAATTCAATTTATTTTTAGTTAGATGAGATGCTTAATAAAAGAAAAACAAAACTTGACGCAGTCATTGAATTTGGAATTGATGATAATCTTTTAGTTAAGAGAATTACTGGCAGATTAGTACATCCAACAAGTGGACGATCCTATCATGAAGAATTTGCTCCACCTAAAGTCCACATGAAAGACGATGTAAGATTTTTAGAAATGATTTTAAAACAAATGATAAGGAATATTATTTATCTATTGCCAAAGCGTTTATTATTAAAAAAAAAAAAAAAAAAAGAAAAGAAAAATGATTTAGTTAAATTTTATAAAATTTGTTTTAAAAAATGATTAGCAATTTTCAAACTATTTATAAGCTATTTATTCATTGATGAAGTTATCTGTTGACCTTTATTCAAAATTGATAGTCTTTCAAATAACAAGATTGATATTAGTTGCAAATTTTTCTCTCTCTTTTTTTTTTATTCCATACATTTAGAATTTATCACTAAATGAAAATATTTTATAATTTAAATTATTTTCTAAATACTTTTGTATATTATTTGCAAATATTAATAATCTATTTCTTGATAAAGGTGACAGGTGAGCCTCTAATAAAAAGGTCAGATGACAATGCAGAAACATTGAAGAAACGATTGGCTAACTATCATACACAAACTCAACCTCTAGTCGACTACTATGCTCTTCAGGGAATTCATAATTACGTAAATGCAACAAAAACTAGCGAACAAGTTTTTCGTGATATTGATAAAATTTTTATGAATTCGATTAGAAAGGATCAACCAAAAAGCTTCTTCAGTCGGCTTTTCTCTTAATAACATGTGCATAAAAAAAAAAAAAAAACCAAAAAGTATCTGTCCGTAAACTTTTAACATCAGAACAATTATTTGTAAAGTTTACGAGAAAATTTAGTTTCACGAGAAAAAAAAAATGTCGTGTTTAATGATAAGTAGTGATATTCCAGAAGAAATAATTCCAGATAGCAGTGTAATATTCGCTCAATTTCAATACATTGAAAAAATAAGTTGATATTTCAACTTGAACGAAATAATTGTCTAAATTAGCTTACACAACTTTAATAGCACAATGACTAGTTTTCACTGATGTAAAATTTTTGTGGGAAAAATGATGGATTTGGATTAAAAAGAAAAAAAAAATTGTTAATGGCACGCTTTGCTAAATATATACAAAACAAAAATATATAAATAATTATTTTGTTAGAATCGCGTTGTACTTACAGGGAAATGGTATAACAAAATTTAATTCTTGTTGAGAATTAAAAATCGAACTTAGCGACCTGATTAAAAACAAATCTTTAAAAAGCGATAGAAATTTATTTTAGAAACACAAATAAATTAATATGTATTTAGAAAATCGAATTGCATGGTGCTGTTTATTTTGCATAATTGGAGGCATATTTAAAAAGAAATAGTATATAAAGCACTGAGAATTTATCGACAAAAAAAAAAGCTGACCATTGTCGTCATATAACCTTCATTTTATTCAAAGAGACAGATTCTATTTCAGGATCAAAGATCTGAATTCAATTGATTATATAATTTGCCTAATATTAATTTACCCTTCATTTGTACCTGCGTGATGTATTATAACATCTATGAGTGTTTTAAAAAATTTGATTACACTCCAAAAAAATCAATTTTTCATTCAATATATAAGATATATATTTAGAGATTAAAGTTTTGAATAATTATTTTGTATTCTATTTTTTATAGTCAGTTTGTGGATCTCGATTTATTATTGTATATTTATTTAAAAATTATTATTTCGCACACTATACAATGTTGTACAAACTATTTTTGTAATCAAATATGAATTATTATGAAAGTTTATTTGTTTTCGAATGTACATTTGTAAGGATTTTTTTCTTAAATATGAGTGGTCAGCATGTAAAAAAAAAAAATATATAAAAACGTGCCTCTTGCATGCCTACGCAAATTTCACAAATATGCCTATAGAATTATAGTCGATTAATTTACCTATAGTAAAAGAACAAACTTTTGTTAAAGTGTTACAGACAATGTGTACAGAAATATTATACAATGTATGGAAAAATGTAAAAATTAATAAAGCCTAAACAAAATAATAAGTTTCAATTATATCTTAAGTTATCCCAAATTAAAGATAATGTTAGATTAAATTAGTTTCAAATACACGATACCTGTCATTGAGGTTAACTTTAGCGAAATTTTAATTTAAGTTAATTGTCATAACCTATATATATATATATATATATATATATATATATATATAAAAATGAAAATTAATTTTCTAAGGAAAATATTACCTAACATAAATTTAGAATATATTGCAATATTATATGATAATACATTTAAAATGATAATAAAGACATTAAAAGTATACCTTAATCAACTCTTCATTGTCTGAATTGAAAGTCGCACGAAAAATAATTCTAACCAAAATTTACCATAAATTCAATCGCATATTCAACTATCGAACACACATTGATTTATTGAACGTAAATAAAAAATAATGTACTTTAATCACGATTAAACACTCCCGACTATTCAAAATAAACGCAAATACACAATTCATTTTGTCAATAAAAAGATAAAACACTTTTGATAAAAGAACAAGACCGGTGTTATTGAGACAAGTGAAAAATGCCTGCATTTTAAAAACAATCGATACGCGTTCGAGAATCTCGAGACTCGAGTGATACATTTCGCAGTACGCAGTTAACTTCACACAGTCACGTTAACACAACAACACGTCAACTGTCAAAGGCATGTAAACAAAATAAATTGATTTTAATAATTTACGGATTTATTTGTAAGTTTTCAGTTTTTTTTCATTTAGGATCAATTTCAGTACTTTTAATTAATTTAGTTTCCACTATCTTATTAGAATTTCATTTGTTAAAATCTACTTTCAATCATTATATGTAGTATTTCATTAAAATCAATAATAATGTAATCAAGTTCATTGTATTTTAATATGCAGATCGATATTTTAATTTTCGTGTCTTATAATTTATTTCATATTTCTTTAAACTGAGTCAGTAATTTTGTATACATTGTATATGTTAAAACTTTTTTACATAACCTCACATTTGAAATACATATATCTATTTTTACTTTTGTTGAGTATTGATATATTATACTTTATTTTTTTGTTTGTTTTTTTTTAATTTTTATTTTTCCGATTTTGAAATTAGGACTTTAAAAAATATTTCCGGTTAAATAAAACTAGAAAAAATAAAAAAAAACAATAACACCTTCGACTTCTACACTGAAAAAATTTGACCATTATCATATGAATATTTTTTTGTTTTAAATAAATAGTACTATCTGAATTAATCAAAAAATATCTATTTAAATAGGGTTTCCTCAAAATTTTTATTTTTTTTCCTTGATTTCCAAACAGAATTTTGAATTTCTCTGAATTTCATTAGAAAAATTTTTTTTCCCTAAAAGTCATGAAAATTTATTTTTATTCAATTTCTCTAATTTGTAATACACGAATATTTATTGATTATATAATCGAAATTTAAATTATTATTATTATTTAAAGAAATTTTCAATTCAATCGAATATTTATTTAAACAAATTTGAATTTTTTCATTTAAGCAAATTATAGAATAGAATTGAAATTATTCACTAATATTCATGTTTTACATCGAAAAGTGCTTGATTCATAAAATATATAATAAAAATACGTACAATATAATATTTAAGCAAATTTTTTCTTTAAACAAATTTAATATTTGGCGGAATTTTCTTTCAAATGAAATGTATCCAAATTTGCATTTGACAAAAATTTTAATTTAACAGAATATTTATTTTATTAAATTTTTATTTAACCCAATTTGCTTTTGATTAATTTTTCATTTAACTAAATTATTGTTTGACGTTTTTTTAAATATGGAAATCAAGGAAAACTTATGGAATTTTACAAGAAAAAAAAATGTCGGTGTAGTTCACAACATTTATGATCAACAATTGAAAAAAGAAAATATTTTTCACTCAAAAAATAATAATTAATTTTTCAGGCAAAAATTTGTAAAATTTTTCATTCTAAAAAATTATTTCTTAAAAATTTGTTTATCATAAACGTTGCGTACTTCATCGTCGTGATCAAAAAACGTTGCAAAAAATTTTTTAATAAAAAATAATAAAAATTTGCATAGAAAAATATTTTTTCTTCTAAATCGTTATGATCATAAACGTTTTGTGAACTTCATGAGCCAAAAATTTTGAACGTTCAAATGAACAAAATTTTTTTTGCAACTTTAAATTTTTAATTTAATTTTAATTTTTTAACTTTAATTTTTTTTTATTTCAAAAAATATTTTGTTCATTTGAATGTTCAAAACTTTTGGCTCATGTGAACTTCACTGACGTAAAAAAAAGGAAGAGAAGCTATTTTGTAGCAATTAAAAAAAGAAAATTTATGATTGTAATTGTAAATATGGTTCAGATTAATGAAATAAATTTTTTGTCAGTGTAAACAATAATTATATTGTTAAGTAATTCTTTTTTACGTCGATGAAATTCAATTTCACTTAGAAGAAAAAATATTTCGTTAGGTAAATTATTATAATTTTTTGCCTGAAAATATTTTTGCAATGTTTCTTGAATAACAATTTTTTTTCAAATTAGTAGGCCAGAAATGTTATTCTTTTCTAAAAAAAAAAATTTTTTTGGTTGAATCGTTGATCATAAATGATCCAAATGTTTTGAATATTCAAATGAACAAAATTTTTTTTGCAACTTCTTTAAAGTACGAATTCTATTACAAAAATATTGTTTTAAATATCTAAAAAGAAGTTATTAATTTAATAATTGTTTAATTTTACATTGCCATTATAATTTTTAATAATTTACATATTGAAAAAAATATTTCATTTATTTGAACATTTAGAACGTTTGACTCATCATAAACGTAGTGAACTACATCGACGTTTTTTTTTCTACAAAATGTATAAATTAAAATATTTTTTTTCAATTTTCAGGTACAGAATTCATAACTGACGGCAACCATGTGCAATCTCTCAAAAAAAATTTATCCCTGAGAATATCAACGCGTAAAATTATTTCCAAATCAATGAAAATTTGAAGATAATTTATAGAAAAAGAAAAATATAAACATGTTTGTTTATCTAAGTAAAAAAATTGCAATACCCAACAACTATCGATTGAATTGTATCTCATGGAATCAAAAACAGGGTTTCATTGCTGTCGGAGGAGAAGATGGTCTTCTAAAAGTACTTCGTGTCGATGGGAATACTTCAGGATCAAGTAGTGGTAATAAAACTCGCGGTGTTGCTTCCGGCAATAATCTCAGTATGAATCAAACCTTAGAGGGTCACAATGGTCACGTTCAAGTGATAACATGGAACGAGGAATACAAAAAATTAACATCCAGCGATCAGAATGGTGTCATAATTGTTTGGATGTTATATAAAGGATCATGGTATGAAGAGATGATAAATAATCGAAATAAATCAGTGGTAAAGGGAATGGCATGGAGTCAAGATGGTCAAAAAATTTGCATTGTCTATGAAGATGGTGCCGTAATTCTTGGATCAGTTGATGGAAGTCGAATTTGGGGTAAGGATTTAAAGAATACAGCACTTTCTGGAGTTCAATGGTCGCCTGATGGAAGACTTCTTTTATTTGGTTTAAAAACAGGCGAGGTACATCTCTACGATAATCAAGGTACATTTTTAACGAAATTAAATATCGTCCCATTGAATACAGGTCAGCCGCAGACAATTGTTGCAATGCATTGGTATGATGGTAAAAATGGCTATACATCTTTGGATTTTCCAACATTGGCAATATGCTATCAAAATGGTAAAGTTCAATTAACTCGAGATACAGCTGATGAAAATCCAATTGTCATTAATACAGGAATGGCAGCAGTTTGGTGCGCTTGGAATAGTAATGGCTCTTTACTTGCTGTTACTGGAATAATACAAGGATTCAATACTGGTGATAGTAAAGAATCAAATGCAATTCAATTTTACACTCCACACGGTCAACATGTGAGGACTTTGAAAATTCCTGGCAGAGAAGTCACTTGTTGTTCCTGGGAAGGGGGATCATTACGTGTCTCTTTATCTGTTGATTCGCATATTTATTTCGCAAATATAAGACCCGATTACAAATGGACATATTTTAGTAACACTGTTGTATTTACAAATGAAAGAATCAGCAATGATGGAATATGCATTACTTTCTGGAATACAAGTAACAATACTTGTTGTACAAAATATGTACGATCATTGATTTCAATTACATCACAGGGAGAACATTGTCTCTTGGCTATTAGGAATGATCCAGTTCAAGGATCGGAGGAATTTGTTTTGATGGTTTGTAATACAATATCGACGCCAATTGATACTAAGTTTACTGATTTAGAACCATTACATGTGACAATGACAAATAATGCTGTTATTGCAGCTTCTAAGAATAATTTTTTGATTTGGAATTTTCGTACACCTCGTATATCAGTTTTGAATGCGGCAAGAATGAGAAAGGATAAAATTTATCATGTTGACGATACACCAACGGGAGTGACGGAAGTTATTCAAGATTTAGATAAAGATCGAACATTTGAAACTCCACTTAATACAAAAGCAACAATGGATCCAATTTGTTGTATTTGTGCTACAGATAAAGTTCTTCTATTGGGTAGAGAATCGGGAATGATTCAACGTTATTCGCTTCCTCAAGTGACTTTGATAAATAGATACAATACTTCAAGTAAGCCTGCTAAAATAGCAATTAATTGCAATTCTACAAGAGCGTCTATAATGGACCAAGCGGGAATTTTAACAATGTTGGATTTAGAGACACAGAAAAATTTCAACACCGACGAAGAAGAGGAGGATGTCAGTAAATTTGAGAGAAAAGATGTTTGGGCAATGTGTTGGGCACAAGATAATCCCTCTCTTATAGCAATTATGGAAAAGACGAGAATGTACGTTATTAGAGGTTTAGATCCAGAAGAACCGATCTCATGTTCCGGTTATATTTGTTCATTTCAAGATTTAGAAATACGTTGTGTTCTTCTTGATGAATTGATACAAAAACCAGAGGAAACAAATTCAGAAATGGTGATTGATTTAGAAGTGAAATCATTGAGAGATACCAGAGAACTTTTGTCGAAAGTTGGTTTAAAGGAAGCTAATAATTTTATTCAGGACAATCCACATCCTCGACTTTGGCGTTTATTGGGCGAATCGGCTTTGAAAGATTTAGATTTAGAAACAGCAGAAAATGCAATGGTTCGTTGTACAGATTATTTGGGAATTCAGTTTATTAAACGGCTGAGAAATATTCACAATGATCAATTGAAAAAGGCAGAGATTGCAGCATTTCTTGGTAATTACAATGAGGCAGAAAAATTATATCTTGATTTAGATAGAAGAGATTTGGCAATTAATTTACGACAAAAACTTGGTGATTATTTTCGTGTTGTTCAATTAATGAAAATGGGTATTGGTGGCTCTGACAAACAAATGGAGCATGCTTTTAACAAAATTGGCGACTACTTTGCTGAAAGACAAAATTGGCAAGGTGCTAGGGAATATTATGAGAAAGGACGAAATCTTGAGAAGCTAGTTGAGTGTTATTATAAATTGGAAGATTATCACGAGTTGGCAACAACAGTTGATCAATTGCCTGACAAAAGTCCTATTTTAAAGGGTGTGGCAAAAATGTTGGCTTCCGTTGGAATGTGCTCTCAAGCAGTTGCGGCTTATATTAAATACGGTGATGTGAAGCAAGCAGTAGACACTTGCGTGCGTTTAAATCACTGGGATCAGGCTGTTGATTTAGCCAAGACATATAAAATGGCACAAATTGGCGAATTGTTAAATAAATATGCCAATCATTTATTAACAAATGGAAAAAAATTACAAGCAATTGAACTTTATAAAAAAGCTAATTATCATTTGGAAGCAGCGAAATTGCTTATGAAATTAGCAGTGGAACAAGCGAAGGGGCGAACAAATCCATTGAGAGTGAAAAAAACTTATGTTTTGGCAGCATTACTTATTGAAGATCATATAAATAGTACGCCAATTGCAAAAGGAACGAGAAGTAATATTATTATGGGACTTTCGGAGAGTAATGAAGATACACGAGTTATTGAAACTGCTTGGAGAGGTGCTGAGGCTTATCATTTTTTACTTCTCGCTCATAAACAACTTTATGAAGGTGATTATGATTCGGCAATGAAAACAGCATTACGACTACGTGAATATGAAGATTTTTTAGAAACAGAAGATATATATTGTTTATTGGCATTGTCAAGTTGTCTCAATCAGGCATTTGCAACATGTTCAAAAGCTTTTATTAAACTTGAAGCATTGGATAATATTTCTAATACAATACGTGAAGAATATGAAGAATTGGCTTTAAATATCTTTATGAAACACAGTCCAAAAGATACACGTAGCACTAAATCAGAATGTGTTAGTTGTGAAAGTTTAATTCCTGATTGGTGTGTTGCATGCCCTAATTGTATGACGAGATTTTCAGCTTGTGTTGTTTCTGGTAAACCAATTATGGATCCAAACACAGCTTGGATTTGTACAGTTTGCAAACATCATGCGGCTTCTGAACGAGATGTCGTTAATATCAGGGCCTGTCCTTTATGTCACAGTACTATCACATACATGTAATTTTCCTCATTGATAGAAATAATTTTTTTTACAATTAATTTTTATCAGTTTTTTTTTTAATTTCAGTGATATTTAAATTTTTTTATTTTAAGTATTATAGTATTCTTTTATTAGTAAAATATTTCATTTTTGTTGCACGAAATTTTCGAGAAATGTTCTTAAATTATAATTTTCATTAGAAAAAATTCATATATATTTTCCTATATTAAGAATATTGATCTATGTAATAAAAGTATTTTCAGTTTGAACTAAATTAATAGCTTTAATTAGAACTACACCAGTGACATATATCCAAAAAGACTATTCATAATTAAGATGATATCGATCACTATTTTAATTTACAATTTATATAATTTATGTAGCTATTAATAATAGTATTGTATCAAATCCGTCCATAAAATATAAATATAGTTATAAATATTTGTTAAATAATAAATGCACTTGAAAGTATATAATAGAAATTGTTTCATTTTAACATTCAAAAAGGAATATTACAATGATTAAATATGCGAATTTATAAAAGAGTTTAATTTAAAAAATAATTAATTAAATTATAAGTTTAAAAAAATTTAATCTTCTATAATTATATTTATCTATAACAATTCATAATTAAAAGAGAAAACTATGTCTCGCAAAATTAAATAAAATATTTTATAATTTGAATAAATCTTCTTGTGTTAAAGTGTAATAATTCTGAATTATTGATTATCATTCTCTTAGACAAGATTCAAAAGATTATTAATTCAATTTTAACATTTTTTTTCTTAATTGTACTTAATTAAAAATTAATAAAAAAAATCATTTAAAATTGAAATAAAAAAATTATTTAATAAACATGTAATTAAGTGTATTAATTAATTAATTTTAAAATTCTAAAAATTGTAATCAAATGATAGCAAAAACAATAAATCACACCCAGTAAGGCAAACTTTTTAATTAGAAACATTGCATAAGAGAACTTTAACCTTTTTTTTAAGAGATTATTTAATAAAGTATTAAAATAATGAGAATCTTGCGAAAATATACAAGTCATCGAATAAATAATTAGATATTTTCTATTTTATGAATGTATCTTTCCGGTATTAGTGATTACAAGCTCATAAAGCACTTTTATGAGTTTTCTGATAATATATAACATTTTTTTTTTTTTATCAAATTGTCCTACACGAGTCACGTTAAAAAATATATAAGTCAACTATATAATAATTAGATAATATTTTCTATTTTCTGCATATAGATATCTTTTCGCTTCATCAACTTATAAATCCATAAAACATTTTTATGATCCTACACTTACGAAATATAAGATTCTTTATCAAAAAACAAAAAAAAAAATTAATTTCTTAAAAAATAGAATGTTTTTTTTATATGGCGTTCTAAAAAATGGTATAAATAATAAAAGAGAAAATTTGTTGAACTATGTGCCTGAAGTTTTGAACGTTCGAGTGAACGAAATCATTTTTTTGATGTACAAATTTTTTTTTAAATTACTACTGCAATGAAAAATAAAAAAAGTATATTAAACATTTAAAAAATTATTAATTTATTTTTACATACAGTAGACAATATTTGATAATATAATTTCAAGTTACAAAAGTAGTAAACAAATCTTTCATTCATTTAAACGTTCAGAACTTCGGGCACTTGTTGAACTACTGCGTTTAAAATTTCGATAAAAGAAAAAAATGTTCATAATGTCAACATTGTTTAAGCCAATTTCAATCAAAAAGAATATGACAGTTTTAAATAATTTTTGTTAATTAATAATTTAATAATTAATTAATAATTAATAATAATAATAATAATTAATAATTATTAATTTTTGAATTGTTTTCAGATGAAAAAATAATTTGTAAAAGCATTTAAAGTTGATCAGCTATTAAAAAAAAAAAAAATTCTATGCAAATTATTATTATTTTTGATCTACATAATTTTTTATAATATTTTGTCAAAACATTGATTCTTTAAAATTTTTTTATTTATTGAACTTGTAGATAATAATAATAATGGTAAGCCTGAGATCTATATATACGAAAGCCCTATTTATAACAATATGGCATTGAAAAATATATACACGATAAGAATTTGTTATATGTAATAATTAAATTTAATTTTTTTATAACTAATCTTAAAGTATAGAAAATCCAGAAGAATTAATAAATACCTTTTTTACTTGTGGGAGGGACTCTTCGATTCCAAACCTGAGCATTAAGCTGACAATAAATTTTAGACATCTGATATCATATGATTTAGATTCCATCCGACAGTTTTAGTGAAGCATTAATTATATCGAAATTTTCGATCTGAAAAAAATAATACACATTTTAGAATATTACAGAGGCTGTCATTTAAAATGATTTATCTGTTATATTATTATATTCAATAAACCTAAATAAATAATAAATTACTTTTATCTATATTTCATTTCAATAAATATTTCAATAAATATATAATTCAATAAAAAAAATCGCATTGCATAAATAAATTTGCCTTCGAAAGTGTTTTAGAAATGTTTTCTTATTTCTTAACTATTAATCATAATTCTTATGTAAAATTAATTAATTTAATTGAAATTTGGATATACATACACATATACCTATTAAAAGTAAAAAAAATAAAAAATTGAACTTATTAACTTTAACAAATTAGAGGTTAAGTTAACAAAAAATGAATATATTTTATTAAAAAGTTTTTTATATATACAAACCCAAAAATGTAAATTACTGATTACCTTTTTATTACTGCACACGAAAAAAAGCAAAACACTCCAGTAAATAGACAAAAAAAAAAAAAATTATTTTAACAGGGTGTCAAGCCGAGTGGTCAATTAATACACCATTTTTAAAAGCTCATTTTAGTTACACGAAATCGCCCCCAAATTGATCACCCATCGTAAAAGGATAATAATTCTATTATTAAAACATTGTTGATAATATTTGCGATTAAATATATACAAAATGTTTGAGCTTTATATATGATTTAACGAAATATTCTAAACGATCGCAGTAACATTGTCAATTGACCGCAAGTTTCAAAAGTTAGTTTATATCATTAAAAAATTGCTACTTTTTTTCTCTAATTTATTACTTACATATAAGAATCCCTTCCTGTTGAATTTACACGGCAAAATTACATATTAAACCGGTTAAACTTTGCACGCAAATCTCTGAACACATTGGTCAAAGCGACACATATAGAGTACTTTAGTATAGGTGGATCATAGCGTACAGAAAACATTCACACACACACACAAATGTAAGCGCACCCTTCATGCTGCTTCTGCGCATGCGTACAGCTGCCGCGGCAACAGACGAATTTCTTGGTTAAAATACAGTGCGTTCCGAACAGTGTTGGAGGTAGGTTGTTTTTCTACTCGTGTCTTTTCTTCGTGAATTGTTTCACGTTGAATTTTTCAAGGAAAAAAAAAACAAACAATTTTTTATCCTCCCTATTACTAATGATCGAATAAAAAGTGTGTCGATACTCTTTCTCCCCCTTCCCCTCAATTCTTCTTCTTTTTTTTAACGTTTTGTTTTCTATATGAATTGTGAGTGTAAGTTCGCGAGTGATTGACAATCATGAGTGTCCTGTCATTTGTTTGGGTGATTTTGATGCTTAGCATCCAAATAACAGTTCTTGCTGGTCTCAAATGCGATGCTGTCAAACCATATTTTGAGACACATGGATTTCCTGCCAGTGATATTCCTAAGGAGCCAATTTCATGTAAGTTTTAAAATGTACAGTTGATTTATGTTTTTGTCAATTTTTTTTATCGCTTTTTACTGTTTTTGTTTATTTCTTTGTTTTGTTTGAATTTAATATTTACTGATTATTCCTAATTTTTTTTTCTCATTGTTACGAAAGATGAAAGTTGCTTTTTTCGGGTTTATTAAAATATTCTCTAAGTGTAAATTAATCAAAATTTACTAATTGTTAGTAAAGTTTCTATTAACTTTTCTTAATAATAATTTCTAAATAATAACTAATTGAGGGATAAAATGATAAAGGAATTAAGTAGGGATAATTTACTTAATTAAACATAACCTAAAAATGATAATTGTTTGCAAAAAAAAAATCATACTGTTTTGCTATCAAATTATTTTTAATTAATTCAGATATAAATAAAATTACTGCATTATATTAAATGTTATTGACATTATTATATTTATATGAATTTAATAATGAGAAAAAAAAAGTTTTTTTGATGGTAATTTTTTTTTTACCGAATTTTATATATTTTTGGAGTAAAAATAAATAGATGTATAATAATGAATCCCTAGAAGTATAAATTTGCTAAAAATGTATTACTTTTTATAAACATGTGAACGAATTTCAAATCCCTCGGGATTCGGAGCACTTTCAATATAAAAAAGTTTTCTTCAGTGCAAAAACCGCCACGTGTTTCGCGATAGTGCGGAACTGGTTTTAAATTGCGGGAATCTTTAATGGCCAATCGGGTCTTAAGAAAAAAAAAAAAAAAAAAAAAAAAAAAGTGACAAAAAATGATTTATTACTCGATAGAATTAAATACCAATGATATGTGAACCACCCAAAAGTCATTACGCTGATTAATTTTTAAGCAATTAAATTTTTATATCCAAATTCATTTTGATTTGCAACTTTAATAACAGGCAAATTTTTAAAAATGTGAATTCAAATTTTTTTTTAATATATTTAATTATTAACTATATTTTTTAAGAATACTTTAATTAAAAATTTTGTCTAATTTTTTTTTGAATCTTTTACTCTTTTTGTATATATATATATATATTTTTTTTTTAATAATCAAAAGTTTGTTTTTTGATTCAGTTCTTGAAGATTGCTTATATAAGTATATTCGGCAGGTTAAAATGTAAAAATAAATATCGGTATTCTAAAGGACTATTAAAATCCAGTTAATTGGTATAACGTTTGAATGGGAATAAAAATTTGTAATTTATCTATAAGATATGAAGTGAATTCCCTTTCAACCTGTTTGAATGATCTCGAACGATTCAAGAGATTGTATCTCTTTCTCCTCGCATCCTCGCAGTTTTATTCGTCGTCGATGAGAAGGATTCGCAAAACTTTGTGGACTCGTATAGTTTATTATTATTTTTTCCGTCAACCTTACCATACCACCCTCGCTTCTCTCTTCTTTATCTCACCCCTCATTCAAATGAACAAAGCGCATAATTCATCGGCCATAAATTCTCCGGAGACGACCATGTCGTTCTGGACCTCGCAAATCAGCTCTCTTGGAGAATTTCACCAAATAAATCGAAACCATTCTGAGGCTCTCGATCTCGATTCAGATTTATCGTTGGGACGCTTCGTCGTCGCTTATGTCTTCTTTTTCCTTTCCTTTCTCTCTCTCTCTCTCTCTCTCTCTCTCTCTCTCTCTCTCTCTCTCTCTCTCTCTCTCTCTCTCTCTCTCTCTCTCTCTCTCTCTCTCTCTCTCTCTCTTTCTCTTATAAATATAGAGAGAAAAATTCTAACAAGCTACTCTCTTTTTCTTAGCTCGACTTCCATTTCGTTTCTGATATTATTTTATATTTCAAAGCGAACTTCTACAGTGTAATATATATATATATATATTTAATGGTAAACTGATTTTTGTATAAAAATGCTTTTAAGATGGAATGACCAAATGGTATGTTATGTAGTAGTTTTTCTGCTCCCTTTGATACACCTCTCGCTTGCAAATCAATAACTGTCCTCAGAAGGGTGTGAAAACTATTTGCATATAAAAGATATTTGAAACGATTGACAGACCCCGATGTTCCCTGCAGTTTAACGAAATTTTCTCCCATGGACCACTTCTATATTTTTCAAAGTACCAGTAGTGGATGAAATCAAATTACGATGCTCTCTCCAGAGCTATATATATATATATATATATATATAGAGAAAAAGTCAATACACGATTGATGGGAATTACGGAACTTGCTTTTTAATCACAGCTTGACAATTTATTCATCTGACTAACATCTGCTACTCTTTCTAAAATTCATAAATTTTATTTTACATATAGATTTCTACATGGAAAAAAAATTAATGACTAAACTTGAGACAAAATTTATTCTTTAATTCAGAGAATTAGAAATACATTTAAATTGGATGATGAAAAAGTTTTAAACGTTCAAAACAAAGCTGAAGTATACGCAATGTTTATAATAAACGATTTTCAAAGAAATAATTTTTTAAAATGAAAAGTTCTATAATTTTTTGCCTAAAAATATTTATTGTAATTTTCATTAATCAACAAATTAGAAACAAATATTTTTTAGCCAAGAAATTAGAAAATTTTTCATTTTAAAAAATTATTTCTTTAAAAATCGTTTATCATAAACGTTGCGTATACTTCATTCAGCTTACTAATTCACATTATAGTAAGAATTTTTACTAATTTTTTTTTAGTAAAATATTACTATTTGATTTAGTATTTTAAAAATTTTTTTAATTAAAGTTTTAGTAAAAAGTGACTAAAACTTAATGAAAATTCTAATTCTTACTAATTTAAATTAGTATAGCTAACTTTTTACTAATTCAGATTTAGAGAGTATAGGTTATGTTTTTGTAAAACTGAAATCAGTTTTTATTGAATATTTTGTGAGTGTAATGAAGATATCATTAGTTTGCATTACGAGTTGAACGTCTTTCTGTATTTTCACTTTAAAATTTTAAAACGTAACCTATAATTTTTTTGCTTCTAAGGTCCCTTTCATCAGATCGCGTCACAATTTATTAAAATATAATTCTCTCTAAATCTGAATTAGTAAAAATGTTTACTAATTTGAATTAGTGACTTACTGTTTGTTTCTGAATTAGTAAAATTTTACTAATTATTAGTAAATTTTACTAAAAATTAGTAAAATTTAACTAATTCTAAAGCAAAAAGTGAGTCACTAATTTAAATTAGTAAACATTTTTACTAATTCAGATTTAGAGAGTTTCAGTATGACTTATGAATTTATATTAAAAACTATTTGGCAAAATAGAATTCAATATATTTCATCCTTTGAGTTACAGATGAAACTTAAAATAACATTCTTATATATTGTCAAGTGTCAACCTAACCTATAAAAATCTTAGTCTTAGTTTTAAAGATTTTTTTCCGTGTATAGCATATGTATAAAGAAAATTTCGTTTCACATAATAATAATAATATTTTTGGATATGTTTTTGTGTTTTTAAAGTTTCTGTATTAAAATAATGCTAAGTGTATGGGCAATTTGTAGAGTTGACATATCCGATCGATGTAAAAGAAGTTTATTACATTTTTATCACCGTTATCGATATTATAACGTGGTCGCACGCACAACCGGTAAAGATGAAAGAAAAGGCGTGGGTCTGAAAAGGAGTGAATAGTAGTCAGCTTTATATTTATCGCAGTGGTTATTGCAGGTGTGTATATGTGCGCGAGAGATCCTTTATGTGCAGCATCTTACTCTCATATATATATATATATATTTACCTATTTGTATACTCCTGTCTCGGAACTATCGGCAAGATTTAAGTGTAAAGGTAATTAATACGCGCACACATATACATCTCTCCCTCTTCGCGTTCTATATTCTTGATTATTTTCCTGCTGATTCAGCAATTACTAAGTCATTAGCAATTAATACTTATATATATAGTTTATCCGCACACTTGCTTTAAAGCCTTATTTTTCCTTCAAAAAATTCTTTTTAACATAATTAATATATATCATTAATTTTCTTGATTAGATTTTAATTGTTTCTTCATTCGATTTTGAAAATAATATTCGCGCGCGGAAACGAAAAAAATTCAAGCCAAAAGCAATTATTCATAATTTGACGGAAGAGAGAAGAGGAAGCTTATACCTATTGTGATGATGCGATTATTCATCATCTCCCTTTCTCGTTCGGATCATCTGCCTATACTTTTCTTTTATGCACAAAGAGTTATTCTTGCGTGCGTGTGTCTTTGGCCACCTCAAGAGAAAGATATAGACCCACAATATTCCATGTGAGAGATATGATTAACGATGCGAATTGCCTGGTCGATCCATTCTTTGTCTAGTCCGACATTTATCGCTATTAATTTGTATAATCAGACTCTTTTTGTTTTATTTTATTTTTTTTATGATTTTTTTTTTTAATACAAAAGAATTTAATCATTATAGGTTTATTTTTTTCGAACAGTCATTTTTATAAAATGTTCTTTGCGAGAGATAATACATTATCGGAGGCAATATTGGATTAATTTGATATATTTTATTTAATCCAATTGTCTCCGATAAAACGTTCACACGCAGTGAAAAGAAAGAAAAGCTGTTTTATAAAGAAGAGAGTCTTAATTTACAACACAACATTTTTTTAGACAGATCCTTGCGCTAAATTTACGCAGTGATGAATTTTAGACTCATCTATAAAGAGATTTTCTTTTTACTATATGTTTAGTTGAATTAAAAGATTGTATATATATTTAGGAATTAAGCGATTTAGGGTATTATAAGTAGATCGTAAATGTTGAAATTAACGATAGTTTGGTGCGCGTGTATATTTCGACAAAGGGATCCCCTATGGATATAATAGAGTAATAAAATTGTAAGATTACGACTCACGTGTCTCAGATAAAATTTATGGTAAACATGAGTTGAACTTTTCATTTTGAGTTTCAATCAATAGATATTCGAAAAAATCTAATTGAAAGGATCATTTTTGTTTTGTATTTTATTTGTCAGTATTTTAGCGCATTAAATTTAGTGAGAGATT